AGTTGGGGACCACAGTGGAAGATCTTCTGTTTCCTCTACCCAGTCTGACAGGAAGCTGCTTGGTGCTCTCGGTTAGCACTTCCTGTCAGACCACGTAGAGGAAACAGAAGATCTTTCACTGCGGTCCCCGACTCGGCCATGCTACATGCAGTAACCGACAGGAAACTGGTTGGCGCTCTCAGTTAGCACTTCCTGTCAGACCGGGTAGAGAAAACAGAAGATCTTTCACTGCGGTCCCCGACTCGGCCATGCTACATGCAGTAACCGACAGGAAGCTGGTTGGCGCTCTCAGTTAGCACTTCCTGTCAGACCGGGTAGAGAAAACAGAAGATCTTTCACTGCGGTCCCCGACTCGGCCATGCTACATACAGTAACCGACAGGAAATAAGAGCTGTCCAGTGCACTCCCCTCCTGCCGGTCACCAGGACATTGCACCCCCAGGCTGGGGCTCTCTATTCCACGCCGGCCCTGTACATACACATATATTTTTGACATCATTAGTGGTCTTTGAAAATTCTGCCAAAGTTTGTATTTTAGCTTTTTTATTTTTTATTTTATTTCATTAAAATCAACAGAAGCAGCATTTGTTCACCAAACTCTAGAGTTATTAACTAAAGTGAGAATTTAAAGGGAATTTCAAATTTAGGTCCAAGATACCTGAATTGGTTACAGTCTCTGAGTCAGCTATGCTTCAATTTCCCAACTTTGGCCGATAATTTGAAATTCACTTTGAATTCTCACCTTACACGGTTATTCACTAAATACGGGAAAATCCACGATACTTTTAGTTCCGCTAATCTGGCCTTAAATTTGAAATTTTCTTTAAATTCACTTTGAATTCTTCCTTTAGTAAGTGACCCTGTAAGTGAATAACTCTGTGAATTTTAGATAATTGAATTCAATGACAAGGTGAAGCTAAACCAGCCAAGCTATGACAATAGGTCTGATGAGAATATTTCCTAATTAGCTAGTTTAGCCTCAATAATCTTAGTGAGTATCTCTGTTTGAGGCTACTAAATCTCAGCAAGGCTCCAAATGTCTTGGAACGGAACTTGTAGCCAGGGGCCGGTCGAGCTATTACACGGCCACAGCGCTGACCGGGCCCCTAAAGATATAGTGTGTGGGCCACCCGATAGGCTCCATCAGCGTGCGGGACACGGTGCAACTGCACCGGCGGCAGTTCCACCGCTACACGTGCGTGTTGTCATCATGGTTGTCACAGGCCCGGCCGCCTGGGCCCCACGTGTAGCGGTGGCCCGGGCCCGCACGCTGATGGAGCCTATCGGGTGGCCCACACACTATATCTTTAGGGGCCCGGTCAGCGCTGTGACCGTGTAATAGCTCGACCGGGCCCCTTTAAAAAATAAAATGCAGCCGCAGCGCAAGTGCTGCTGGGAGGAAGTTACCACTTCCTCCCAGCTCACTCCGCGCGGGGGAGAGCCAGGCAGTGAAGAGGGAGAGCCGTGTCGACTCCCATCAGGCCCAGCCACCCTCCTGCAATGAAAAGGTAGGAAACAGGAGGGTGGCTGAAAAATATGCTCTGTGTGTGTGTGTGTGTGTGTGTCTGCATGTCTGTTTGTCAGTATGTATGTCTGTATGCATGTATGCCATTATGTATGTATGTATGTATATATTTATGAACCAAAGTGAGCTTAGTACAATCTGGATATAACGTCCAGACTCTACTAATCAAATGAGTGGAGCTCTAAAGGTATAAATCTCAGGTTAAAGGGTTAAATCTCAGATGTATATCAGTACATATAAAGGAAACAAAAAAGAAAACACAATATAGTGTAAATCCACAGGTGATAATGTATTTTGGTGATAATTCAAGTTGTCAAACTCACATTGATCAGAGCCTCAAAGGGACAGGCTCAAATCACTTGCACAGTAGTGTCGTATAGAGACACTGCACCCTTTTGCCTGGAATGGATTTCCTCAAAGGAGAGAGAAAGGGAGACTTCCTAGTCTATTAAGTTTCAACCAAAATAAAAAACACAGTGGTTATGGTTGTGCTCACCTTTTCCTGAGTCAATGAGAACCTGGCTCTGGATGATAGACCTGGGTACCTCTAGAGGGGGGGACCTGCCCTTCTTTAGCAGCAAAATGAAGTTAGAAGCTGATGGGACTTGATTTAAAATACATACATTTATTGCAACTTTAAATATAAAAACAAAAACATAGAATTAAATAAAAATGTCCAGTTGCTTCTATATAAGATAAAGAATGTCCTAGTAATTAGCTCCAGTCCCGAGACGCATTTCACCCACACTATGGGGGCTTTTTCAATCGATATCCTCATATATATATTTATGTCTGTATGTCTGTATGCATGTATGTCTGTCTGTATGTCAGTATGAATGTATGTCTGTGTGTATGCATGTATGTCATTATGTATGTATACATGCATGTATGCCTGTATTAAAGTATGTATGTATGTATGAATGTATATGTGTATGGATGTCAGTGTCTGTATGCATGTCTGTCAGTATTTATGAATGTATGTCTGTCTGTCTGTCTGTCAGTATGTATTTACGTCTGTATGTCAGTATGTCTGTATGCATGTATGTCTGTCTGTATGTCAGTATGCATGTATGTCACTATGTCTGTATGCCATTATGTTTGTATGTATGTCTGTCTGTATGTCAGTATGAATGTATGTCTGTGTGTATGATTGTATGCATGTATGTCAGTATGTATGTATGTATGACATTATGAATGTATGTCCGTGTATGTGTATGTGTGTATGGATGTCTGTGTCTGTATGCATGTATGTCTGTCAGTATGTCTGTATGTATGTATATATGTATCTATGCCAGTATGAATATATGTCTGTGTGTATGTATGTCGGTGTCTGTCAGTATGCCAGTGTGTCTGTATGTATGTGTCTGTATGTCCTCATGCATGTGTCTGTATGTATGTTAGTATGTGTCTGTCACTATGTATGCCTGTGTGTCTGTATATGTGTGTATGTCACAGTATATGCGTGTATATCTGTTATGTGTGTCTGTATCTCAGTATGTGTGTCTGTTAGTATGTATCTGTGCGTGTGTGTGTGTGTATCTGTGTCCTTTTGTATCGGTGTGTGTGTTTGTGTCTGTGTGTGTATTCCTATGGGTGGGATTTGAAGGCGGACCCTGTGAGCGGGATTGGAGGCGGGCCCCAGGGGGCCCAGACCCTGAGCTGAGTTAGGGGCCCCAAAATTCCTGGTGGCGGCCCTGGTTGTAACACACCATAAAGTTTCTTTACTACACTAAAAGTTATACCAAAATAGCAAAGTTGGGAAATTCTAAAATGTGTAAATTCCTTGTTCAAGAGTAACAATGGGTCAGTGGTTAAAGTCACTTCTCTGAAAATTACAGGAAATTACACTATGGAATAAATAATTGAAAATCCCCTTCAATGTTTTTCAATATCATTCTCCATTTTCTTTTCAATTTATATTAAAATGGAAACTCTAATATTATAAATAAAATATGGATTTAAAACATTAGAGTTTACTATGAGGCAATCGATTATTGTCCTCCCCTGCTCCCCCGTTAAACCAAACAGTTAGATGCTCCTCAAAGAGAAGAATTATTCTAATGCTTCTCTGTCGGGAGGTTTAGCTGTGTTTGGCATCACCATTGTGGGGGAAAATGCCTCTAGTAATTGTCTGATTGACAGCCACTAGATCAGGGGTAGGCAACCTTCGGAACTCCAGATGTTGTGGACTACATCCCCCATAATGCTCTTACACCCATAATGCTGGCAAAGCATCATGGGAGGTGTAGTCCAAAACATCTGCTGTGCCAAAGGTTGCCTATGCCTGCACTAGAGGTATTCTTAGTGAAATATATCCATTGCTTTTCCTCACAAACAACAATGATTACATTTGTCAGACTGCAGGGGCAAGGTCTATGCTCCAAAAAACACTATGTTATGATACAGTGGTTTTGGTGTTTAGTTTGTCCCTTTAAAAATTTAGCAAATTACATCACAATCTAGTTCAGTTCCAGCACAGCCATTGTTTAATGTCTCCTGTTCACTGTATGTTATGGCAATATAACTTCCCCCTCATTCCCCTCCACCCTGTGATGCAGTCACTTACCTAGGTTGAGCGTCAATGTCCCTCGGAGCTGGCTCGAGTCTTCCTTCGGATGGTCACGCTCCCCATAGGAAAGCATTGCACAATGCTTGGGGAAAGGTAAGTTCGGCATGACAGTGCCGATTTAAAGAAGCTAGCTTTGGTATTTCAGAGTCTTAGACTCACTTCCCGACAAGGTCTTCTCAGTTCTTTAATCCTACCAAGATCAATAAATTGAGTATATCCATATACCAATAAAAGTAAATATGCCTTCCCTTGTTAAATACTCTGAATGTATTTTTATTATATTCTCTAAAATTCATAATGTCATGTCATAAACATCTCTACTTTATCAAATAAAAATAAAGCCCATTTCTCCTCTAGGTTATTGTGTAACATGGGGATTGCGTAGTCAGCTAGATATTGTAGATAATTAACAACAGACTTGGCTAATGTTGCTTAGTTAGGGATTTCTTTCAAATGTAACTACTTTGGCCTACATTTGACATATTCCCTATTAATTCTTCACATTTGCTGTGTTAGTGAATGGACTCTGTTGTGTTTACAATGTAGCAATGGCCTCTATTTTCTAAACCAGCCTAGATCCTTGATTGTCAAATAGCCCTGTGTCCGGTGGTGCAGCATTGGTTGTAGCCATATAAATATGAAATAAAAATAACGTTAGCATTTAACAGCTTGTAAGTATTTTTTTAAATTCATTCATTTAATGTAAAAATAGACAGAAATATATCTCCAAATTCATCAGCGAAGCATATAAATACGTATTTTATACAAGTTAAGATTTGTTTCTCACTTCAATTTCCATTGAAAATGTTTTTCTTTTTTTTTTTTTAAATACCAGTCTTATTTTGGCTCTTTGTCTTTCCGTTACTCTCTCCAAAACATCTTTTCAGAAGTGAAACCATTTCAGTGTTTTTTTTATCTACTTTAGATTTTAGTTGATACAATGTAAACCAAGGTTTTCTTTCAACAAAAATTGTGCCTGATTTGGTTTAAAGAACATTTTAAGTCGAGTCAATACAAGAGCCCACTATTATGAAGTCAGCTTGCATCTAACTGTGAATGTATACACATCTTCTGAAATGTTCCATAAAACAATTGTGCATAATGGGAGTGGGAATGGAGCGGATGTCAAACTGGCAGACAGTGTCCAGGGAACAAATCGTAAAAGTTCCATCAGTTCTTCCAAAGAATTACTGAGGCTTCTCTGTCCTTAAGCATGTGAGCTGTGAAACACAAATTCTTCAAATAAAACTTTGAAGGATAAATTGAGGATATTTTTTTTCAACCATCGATCAAATTCAAGAGAAAATGAATCTCTCGGTTCTCTTTCCGCAGTTGCATTGTGGAGTACGCACAAAGTGTCTTTCGAGAGTTTTGAATTAGCGGAGTAACTACAAATACTCGTCTTTTTTTGCCCATGCGCCCCATAGAGCTATTAAAACAATCATGGTGATGAGTAAGTATGTAGCCAGTTCATCAACGCACCACTGTTCTGCACATCTACAATACTGCTTTTGCCAGCTCTCCATGCTGGTTGAAGGAGTCCTCTGTCGGTGGGCACGGAGGGAATGGATCCTAGAAAGAGATAGAATGTATATTACAATATTGTAGATTCACTAAGTGAATAGTGCTTTAGATAATTAAATAGAATGCAAATAAAAAAAATTGTTTTTGGAAGCCCTTGGCACAGTTGTGCAATCAGCAGTTGATGTGAAGTCAATACACACAGAGAGTTTATGAGACAGCTTTGGGACTTCCCATTAGGAGCAATGTGTTGAAGAGTTAAAGGGGATTCAAAGATTGGAAGATCTAGAAATAGGTGGCGCTTCAGAGATGGGGATTGAGAGACTGATAGGAAAGACAATATAAGGTGAATACAAGACAGGATGGCAAATGGAGAAAATGGAAGAGGAAATTATAGACTGGAGGTGGATTTAGAAATTGAGAGTAAGCTTAACACCATGGGGGTATTGAGAGACTGGAAGGAGGTGATTGAAAGGCTGGATGGATGAGGATGCAGATACTGGAGCAAGTAAGAGATTATATGAAATGTATACTGAGAGATTGGAAGGACGGAGTCTGCAAGATCAGAGATAATATTGAGGGACTGGAGGGAAAGACTGGCGGTTGGAGAGACTTGGGGAAGCTCTAAAGAGTGGAGGCAAATTAAAAGACTGGTGGGGTTCGCAGATTAATCGGAGGGAACCTGGGGCCTTCTACTGAGGATGTTTAAGAGACCTCAAGTAGATTGTAAGACTGGAATGAGATGATGAGATCAGATGAAGAAATTAGAAACTAGAGCGAAAAGGACTAAAACACTGGTGATATTTGAGGATTAAAAGACTTGGTGAAAGAGAGAATAGAGAGGGGAGGCACTGAGAAACTACTGGAAGAATTTCTTTTAAAAAAAAATACTTTTAGGGAGTTTGCCAGGATAGTGCTTGAGATATTGGGGAAATGTTGCAAGCTGCATAGAAATGGTGGTAAGTAAATAAAGATTGGGAAAGACTAGGAGAGTGAGATGGGGTGATTCAAATAATGTCATGAAATTTAATTACAATAGAGATTGGTGGGGGAAGAAATTAGGGGAGAAACGAGGAGCAATGAATGTGATTTCGTCTTTATTAATAATTTGGATTATAACAAAGGGATTTGTTCAGTAAGATGTGAATTGGCAAACTTGGAAGTTTTAGCCAAAATATGTGACTTAATTACAGTTAAAACACAGTTTATATTATTATTATTATTTTATTATTTATATAGCGCCAGCACATTTCCATAGCGCTGTACAATGGGTGGACTAACAGACACGTAACTTTAACCAGACCAATGGACGCATAGGAACAAGTTGAGGGCCCATATTCACAGTTTAATGAAATATCTGCCATATTTCAGTATTTACAAGTCTTTATATCTGCTGGCATCATCTCATTACAGTTATGTAAAAAGATTCATGGGTGAACCCAGTTACCAAGGACCCGTGGAGTAAATTTCCCTGGGAAGGTCTAATTGATATCACTATACAGGGTTATTTGCTTAAATTTGCATTTTTGGATGTTAAATCTAAATGAAAAAACCGAGGCAAAAATAGATGATCTTTAAAAATTCTCCACCTCAGTTTTTTTTATTTAATTTGCGAAAACTCAGAGTTTAGTGAATTCCTCCAGGGTTTACTAAAGCAAGAATTCAAAGTGAATACAAAGTGAATTTAATATTTATAGGGATAATTTGTTACTTTAATGTTGTTGTTCTGGTGCTCAGCCTGTCCCTGCACGCTTTTCAATGCAAGCATTGCCTTTTCATAAAAAAGTCAGTGTTTACATTACTACCTAAGAACACCTCCAGTGGCCATCACTCAGATGGTTACTTGAGGCGCTTCCTATCTCAGTGCTGCACACAATGCAGCATCTACTTTGCTCTGCATGGAGACACTGAATGCTCCCCATGGAGACATATTAATTCAAATTATCTGGAGATGCTTATTTGCGCAGGGTTTTTCCAAACATGCACAGTAGCCACCCAATGATTTATTCATCATAATCTAAGCCATGGAGGTGAGGCCATGGACCTAAACAAGGGGAAGCTATGGGGAGCTATAGTGCCAGGAAAACAACTTTGATTCCGGGCACTAAAGTTTCTCTTTAAGTTTGAAATTCACATTAAATTTTCATGTTAGTAAATAACCCTGCAAATATGCTATGATAAAATGCCTCATCATGGAGATATATATATATATACATATATATAACAGAAATTTATTATAAGCAAGTTCTGCTTTACTTGATGAGAAATAGCTTCTCTTTCATACTTTGACTTCCACATTACAAAGAGTGAACTGCTTACTATGATAAAATATATAAAATAAAATAAAATATAAAAAAAAGAGAATGTTTACATTGCAGTGTTAAGACTGCATCTAGCAGCCACTAGAGGCGCTTCCTGCAGTTTTATGGAGTTTGATGTCTAGTCTCTAGAAAATCCCCATAGGAAAGCATTGATTCAATGCCGCATGCCGCATGCACATTGTATCTGACCGATCAGCTTACGTTGGCGGAGGTGGAGAGGAACCCAGTGCTGAGGGATAATGCTGCTGGAATCTATGTGTTTAATTTGCCATGGGGGGGCAGAAGAGGGGGAATGTTCCTTTAACATTTTGTGTTCTAAACAATTATCTGTTTATTCATTTCCTTTTATTGCTGCATGTGAACACAATATGTATCGTGCCCTGGTATGTATCTCTGTTTGTGTTAGAAGTATCTTCACAGTGATAAATCGTTTGGTAAAAGACCAGTTCATCCCGCTGCCAGCAGGGGAATTATATCCATATTAGGAGGTCAGATCTACCAACTGCTGGCAATTCTTTAATTGTAGGAGTCGCATTCGAAGTCATTGTTTATAACGTTTGTTTTCAGATGAACTTAGCTTGCAAGACATTTTCAATTTCCTAAGTAGATGGTTATCCCTCTATTTATAGAGACATAAACCCTTGATATCAGCAATAGTCTTTAAACTAATAATTGCCCCTATAATTCCCAGAAATCAGCATAGCTCCGAGTGGTCAGAGTCACATCGTGAAAAAGAGACTGTTGCAATATTTATATACCATCAAATATTACATAGTTACATAGTTACATAGCTGAAAAGAGACTTGCGTCCATCAAGTTCAGCCTTCCTCACATGTTTTTTGCTGTTGATGCAGCTGTGTTTAATGAGTGACAAAAATCAAATGAAACAACCATTTACTACACAACATATTTTCTAAACCACAAACCTCCCAACAAACAAAATGTCCAAATGATGTTAAAATGTTAAAGAATATTTGCTGTCTGTCTAATGCACAGTGCATGGGAAATTGAATGGACACATTTTAGATGCATATATAAAGGCAAGAGACTGGAGCAGCATTATTGACATTTTATATACAACAGCTAATTGCTAGAGTTTATTCAATATTCTGATCTGATTTCCAGCCTAATAGACTTCTCTTCTATACCATGGCTGGGAGATTTTGCAAGTCTGTCTTTTAACCCATTAGCCAACTATACCCCTCTGGCACGCAAAGGGTTAACTGTTAGTTATTATTATTTTCATTGGTTAATTTATTCTCTCCAGCAACATGTGAAACACAACCAAATTCAACCAGTGCACACAGGCGGCAAACCTTCCAGAAGTGTTTGAAAATCCCTCTCTCAGATAAAACATATGGACAATTAATTACTTTGTTTACCTGTAGCTAAGTCTAGCCCACCAGCATATCACGACCGTTGATATCCATTGCAATCTTGGCATTGCATAGCCTGGCCTAGATTAACATTTAATGTCTCAGAGGTTCTGTGAACTAATGTCACAGTAAGGTTTTAAAGGAACACTCTAAGCGGCATAATCAAGACAGCTTATCAGTGGTTATGGTACATTAAATGTACAGGCAGTGGCCCCCAGTCTTTGTCAGACAGTTAGGGAGCAGTGTAAAAAAAAACTGGGGCTCTCACTAGTACCCACTACCCAGAGACTTTCCCCTTTACTCTAATAATTTAGAAATGAACTTCTGTCCAATGAGGCCCACAATGTGAGATTAACAAACATGCTTACATTGCCACAACGACAAGGGTAAGCATTTCATCATAAACAGGGTTACGGCACATTATAACTGCGCATCTGAATTATATTAAACATGCTCTAACAGTATACGTCAGTTGATATGCAAAGAAAGGTGCAGGGAGGCAGCACCTGTAGTGTTGTTCTTAATTCCAAGGTGGTATGTGAAATAAGCAAAGAGAACATAATATAGTGTAGTATGTTATTAATTCTGATTATACATGAAAGAAACAGATTGCACTTACAGTTTTGGGGCTTATGTTCAGCTCTAGACTTGTGCGCGTAGATGGAACAATCCCCATCTGTGGATATGGTGGTGGGTCCTTATGCTTGTTAGCAGGTGTTGTTCCCCGTGCTAACAAGCATAAGCTCCAGGAAATTGGGGGGAACAGGTACTCAGATTGAAGTTCGCGGCGATCGGCGGGAGCGGGAGAGCGGGCGCCTCCTCAGTCATGCTTGTAGGCCGCAGAGAGCAGTTGGGCATATCATCCGAAATCATCAGCATGAAAGGTATCCTTGTGGGCACCACGATGTCCCTTGTCACTCAGTAGCTGACTTATAGCTAGTGTTGTCATCTTTTAGCAGAAAATTTGTGAAAATCACAAGAAATGAGCAGGAGCTGTGGTGTCTTGCGACTGCTCGGCTCTGCGGTCAGGCCCTGCCCTACTTGTGATACATTTAATTATATATTTCACATGCACGTATCAAAAATAGATTTAGACCCACCAAACACAGGGCTACTTAAAAGGGACACTCCACGGCCCAAATACAAAAATAAAATAAATCACTATTTTAGTATATATTTGTCCATTGAAAACTTGCATGTCTTTATGCATTTTTAAATTGAGGGTATATCTAAAAACAGCTTGCAAAAGCTTCAGATCTCTTGTCTGCAGTCTTTGCAAACCCTCCCCTTCTTCCCCTGCCTAAACTTTCTGTGGCTGTCCAATCACAGACTTTCCAATGCAGCTTAATGAGAAGTCTTTGCAAGGCAGGTGCTCTGGGGAAGTGCTTGAATTGAGTTTATCTCCACTGAGCTAACCAAACCAGGAAGTAGCAGGACCAATTTTTGTAAATGAAATAAAAGAGTACAAACACTCTTCTAACATAAAGCCCTTTAGTTTTCCTTTAAAGTAGTGGTGGGACTAGCATGTTATGACCTCACAATGTGACTTTAATATTTTTAATTTGAAATAAGGGTTCTAAAAGATTCCTTGTTTAATTACCGTAGTTTCTCCAATTATCTTGTTCATTTCTGCAGCTTCCAATATATTAAAATGCCTGATTAAACTGGTGCTCTCTTTCTTGTCCTTTTCAGTCCATCAAATGGCCTCATTTATATTAACATAAAAAATATTACACTTAATCATAAAAACCTGACTATTCTAGTGTATTATAAGAAGAGTGCGTCTTGCTCTCTACAGACAGAATAGGCACGTGGTTGCTCTGTTTCTAAAAGGCTGCAAGGAAAAACCTCTGTTATTAACTGCGTATGTCTCTCTCATAAAGTAAAATATGTGGAACGCTGCTTATCGTGTAGCATCTAGTTCAGTGTTTTTTAATCCCTTGTCCCAAAATTGATTCCCCATTGCTGCCTGTAATGGGTTCTTATTGGCTGTGTAGACCCACGCAACTCTGGAATCTGTCTAATGAATGTGGTGTGCTGTGTACAGTATCACAGCAACTGACAATTCACTCGTGGACAGAATTTTACATTTAGAGAATGGATCATTATGTTACTGTATCATTTTTTGCCACTAGCAAAAAAAAAGAAAATAGGACCCAATGATCTAGTAGCCTTTGGGCTGGCAAAGCACCATGGGACCTGTAGTTCTGCAACACCTGGGGATCTACCTTTAATCCATCCTTGGTATTTACAAATGTATCACAGAAAGAGAATTCGGTATTTTTCGGACAGGATAGTGCTCCTGCTTCTTACCTTCTTGAAGAATTCATGGTCACTTTGACCAGGACAGCCGCAGATGATGTCCGTTCTGCAAAAACTAAGAAGGATTACAAAGTATTCTTGTTATAAGTGCAGCCCAAACTGGTATTCTATATTTATATCTAGACGAAGCAATAAAATGTCTTTATAGTCCTCTTCCTTTGGATCTGCTCTGCTGTGGATGTCTCGGATGTTCTGTCTTTTGATACTCTGTTAAGCCTCTAATCTGTATCTGGTCCTGTAGTGTTAAATAAACTCCGGCAGTTCTGACACTCCCACTAGTGGATGTATGTGTGCTTAACCAAGTGACAGACGCTGTCCATGTGGCCAGATGTTATTTACGCTCGCTCTCTGTTCCAGAGTAAAACAGTTACATCAGTGCTGGAAGTCACACAGTATGGTTGTTATGATAAAGGAGACAGCAGGCATATTTCTCCCAAGTAAAGAAGTGATGTTCGCTCAGGTCTGTTGTAACCTGTGTCTCCACTTGCTAAGAACCAAACAAGGAACAAAACCCCTTTCCCTTATTAATTGTCCCCAGTTTTAACAAATAAACTTGGAACTGATTTGTAAATGAAAGGGTTACTCTAAACATCATAATCACAATAGCCCGCTTTAGTAGTGTCCCCCGTTCCCTGGGTCCCGTGGGGGCTGAGGGTCCTCTCATGAACCCGGCACACTGCACCTTACAGCAGGATATACCAGGTGCAGACTGAGGGTTATCTCCATACCACTATACACAATATAGCCCCTATACACATACTCACTAAATCCCTTATACACACATTATGCCACTATACACACTACATAACTACACACACACTCTCTACAGCCCCTAACCACACGTACTACATAACAAACACAACACAACACAAACCGACCTATTTACACAAAACACCACACCACAAACAACTCACCCTACACCCGGGCCGCCATCAAAAATTTTGGGGGCCCTAACACAGCTCAAAGTCTGGGCTCCCGGGGGCCCGCCTCAAAATCCCGCCCACAGGAATACACACACAGACACAAAACAGAAAGATACACACATACTAACAGATACAAATACTGAAACAGACATACACACATACAGGCATACTGACACACACATACTGAGACACACACACATGCATAAGGAGATACAGATACAAACACACATGCATAAGGAGATACAGATACACACACACACATGCATAAGGAGATACACACACACACACACACTGACATACACACATACTGACAGACACACACAAACATATACATGCAGACATACATACTGACAGACATACATAAATACTGATATATACATACATACTGACAGACACATACTGGCATACATACATACATACATACACATACATGCATACAAACATACAATTCATTTTTCAGCCACCCTCGTCTTCCTTACCTTTGCATTGCAGGAGGGTGGCTGGGGATGATGGGCGTCGGCTGCCTCTCCTCTTGGCCTTCAGGCTGCGTCCTCCTTCAAGCGCGGAGTAAGCTGGGAGGAAGTGGCCGGCTGTCACTTCCTCCCAGCAGCACTTGCGTTGCGACTGCATTTTTTTTTTTAAAGGGGCCAGGTCGTGCTATTACAGCGCTGACTGGGCCCCTGAAGATAATACGACCCATTGGGTCACCTGATTGGCCCCATCAGCGTGTGGGGCCCAGTGCAGATGCACCAGCGGCAGTTCCGCCGCTCCACGTCACCCCCTGATGGCGGCCCTGCCCTACACACACGCAATCCCACAAGCAACCTCCAAATACATGCACAGTATTATGCCCTAGCCCTTTTGTCCTCTAATCACTGAAGTGGTCACGATGTTTGAAAAGTTAAAATCTTTTTCAATTCAAGATAAAAATAACATGGAGGGGGAAAGAAAACCTACATTCATGAAAACTAAATCTGGACATGTTTACCGTCTTTAGTAGATGCTTCCTCAGCAGCCATTAGAGTAATGTGTTTGGTCATCCATGTTGTTTGCAGGAGAAAGTGGTCTACACAGGAGCCAGACACCATGGAATATATATCTCCTAAGCAACATCCCCGGTAATTGTTGGCATCATTAATTGCACATATTAAGAGGATGTTCTTGAATATTTAATTTAAGCTGGATATTAAGCTGTTATGGTGTGGGCAGAGGTTGGCAACCTTCAGCACTCCAGATGTTGTGGACTACATCCCCCATAGTGCTATTACACCCATAATGCTGGCAAAGCATCTAGGAATATGCAGTCCACAACATGTGGATTGCCCACCCCAGTTCTAGTGTGTTTTATGAGAGGAGCAATTAACCCTATAGTCTATATAATAAAGTGCTATCAAGTGCGCTGACCACATTGGGTGAATAAAGTAGCGTTATACCATTTATTTGGGGGCAGAAAGTGTTTTTTTTTTCCATAACCCATACAATTCTAGCCCCTCTTATATCTCTTCACAGATCCATAGGTATACCCCTCCTCGTTCCCTCCGCTCTGCCCGTGACCACCAGGGCCGGACTGGCCCACCGGGATTTCCCGGTGGGCCGCGGCACCTGGGGGCCGGCCGCATTCCTGGCTGGAGCCGCCAGGCCGGGTGGCAGCTTCCCCGGTCCGGCGGCCCTGCTCCTGTCACTGCTGTGGCTGTTGGAGGAGGAGCACAGGAACCGCGAGGGAGCATGGTACAGAGACATGCTCCTCCTCCATCAGCCACAGCAGTGACAGGAGCCGGGCCGCGGGACGGGAAGCTACCACTTGACGCGGCGGCTCAATGAGGAGCGGCCTGCCCCTGACTTCTCCAGGTAAAGGGGAACAGAGGGGAGGAGGGAGACGCAGGAAAGGGGGAGGGAGAGATGGGGAGAGACACAGGGAAAAGGGGAGGGAGGAGATGGGAGGGAGGGAAAGACACAGGAAGGGGGAGGGAAGGTCGGGAGAATACAGGGGAGGGAGGAGAGATGGGGGAGAGACACTACAGGGGAAGGGGGAGGGAGGAGATGGGGAGGAGTGACACAGGGAAAGGGGGGGAGGGAGAGAGATCGGGAGAGATACAGGGAAAGGGGGGAGGGAGAGAGATGGGGAGGAGGAGAGAGACACAGGGAAAGGGGGAGGGAGAGAGATGGGGAGAGACACAGGGAAAGGGGGGAGGGAGATGGGATGAGACACAGGCAAAGGGGGGAGGGAGGGAGATGGGCATGGGCGTCCGCAGGAATTTTTCCAGGGGGGGCATAATTGTAATGACATCCATGCTTGGTACCTTTTTGACAGTGTCATGAAAGGGAAGGGGCATAGCCATTATCACATAAAGCCAGGGTGAATAGCGTTTTCACAACTATGGTGTCAGGAATATATGTTTGTATTCCTGACACTATGGTGTTCTTTTAAGCAAATTAAAGTATCATTCTGGTCACCATAACAACTTCACCTAAATGAAAATGCTATGATGCCAGGAAGCCCCTGGGTGCTCGCTTTCCTTTAAGGGGTTAAATCGCTCTCAAATGGTTTAACCCCAAAGGCTTCCTCCAGCTCCAGGTCGCTCAGTGGTATTTGCAGATTGACGTCAGGCATGGGTGCCGCTGATTGGCTAGAGTGGACAGTTGACGCTCTAAGCCAATCGCTAGTTCCCGGTTCATAAAATATTTTAACTTTTTTATGAATGGGAAGCTACTGATTGGCTTAGAGTGCCAGCTGACCGCTCTAGCCAATCAGCAACACCCCTACCCAACGGCACTCTGTGCTTCCTGAAGTGAACACATTAACACTGATATTTTTTTACCTTTGGAGATGAGAAGGTCCAGTGTTTCCCTGCCTGGCCCAGGTACCAGAGCCTTATGATGTGGTGTCCAGAATAAAGTGGAGGGTTCACTTAATTTGTCCTTCCTGCTCCAATCTCCTTTTCCTCTCCTTCATTTGACAGTCTTTTTTTTTTCTTCTGACACTGTTTTCTATCCTTGGCCCCTTCTGCTCTTTTACCTTTCTGCTACTTTCTGCTTATTTTGCACCTTTCTGCTCCTTTCTCATTCTGATCCCTTTCTGCTCCTTGCAGACCCTTTCTGCTCCCTTTTCTACTTTACCTTTGTGCTCCTTGCGGTCCCTTTCTGCTCTCTCATACTTTACCTTTGTGCTCCTGATTCTTTCTGCTACTTTACCTTTGTGCTCCTTGCTGTCCCTTTCTGCTCCTTCCTGCTCCTTGCAGGCCCTTCCTGCTCATTCTCCTACTTTACGTTTGTGCTCCTTCTGCCCCTTCCAGCTCATTTCTGACCCTTTCTGCTCCTTCTACTTTACCTTTGTGCTGCTTTACCTTCCAGCTCCTTGCTGACCCTTCCTGTTCATTTCTGTTCCTTCTCCTTTTCTTCCTTTACCTTCCTGCTCCTTGCAGACTCTTCATGTAGGCTGTCTCCCCCATCCCTCACTTCCATAGGCGTGCGCACGGGGTGTGTCGGGTGTGCCTGGGCACACCCTAATCCCTGCGGTACGCCAATGGATTGAGCGGCGGCTCTGGTCTAAGCCTCCATGGGCCGGTGGGGAGATCAAAGTTCTACTTCACCGGTCCACAGCAGCATGGAGGGAGGCAGCAGAGAACCCGGGCTAGAGTTCACTCTAAACTGAACCACCAGGGAAGGCAGCAGGACTGGGATATTAACTAATCTGCCCCCACCTCCACCAAACATACAGCACCTACACACATACAGCACCTACACACATACAGCACACACAGCCCACAAGCAGCACCCACACACACACACACAGCACCTACACACATACATCACCCTCGCACACACAGCACCCACACACATACAACACCCACACACACCCAGCACACTAACAGCATCCTCACAAACACACAAAACCCACACACAACACCCGCACAGCACCCACAAACAAACAGCACACACACACAAACAGCACCCTGACAAACACACAACACCCACACACAGCACACTAACAGGACCCGAACAAACACCCTCTCACACATGCACACACACAGCACACTACCAGTTCCCTCACACACAGCACACAAACAGCACCCTCACACACAGCACACTAACAGCACTCTCACAAACACACACAAAAACACCGTCACCCACATAGCACACTACCAGCACCCTCACACACACAGCAGTGTGTGTGTGTATATATATATATATATATATATATTTATACACACACATACATACATATACACATGGCGTGTGTTTGTGCTTTAGGGTGCACACCCTAATGCAATAGGCTGCCCCCCCAGTCTCACTCCCCTAATCTATAGGCTGCTGCGCCCCCCATCCTCACTCCCCTAATCTATAGGCTGCTGCCCCCCAAAAAAATCTATAGGCTGCTGCCCCCCCAAATCTATAGGCTGCTGCCCCCAATCACACGTTGCCCAATCGATAGACTGCTGCCCCCCAATCGCATAGACTGCCGCCCCCCACCCATAGGCTGCTGCCCCCAATCTATAGGCTGCTACCCCCAATCTATAGGCTGCTGCCCCCCAATCTATAGGCTAAGGCTGCTGCCCCCAAATCTTATGTGGCTGCCAAGTCCCCCACCCATAGGCTGCTGCCCCCACCCATATAGGCTGCTGTCCCCCCCAATCTATAGCTTGCTGCCCCAATCTATAGGCTGCTGTCCCCCACCCAGGGCGGCTGCTGCCCCCCCTTACTCCCCTAATCTATAGGATGCCCCCCTCACTCCCTAATCTATAGGCTGCTGCCCCCCTTACTCTCCTAATCTATAGGCTGCTGCCCCCCCAAATCTATAGTCTATCTCAATCCCTCCCCCCATCCCTCACTCCCCTGATCTGTAGGCTGTCTCTGGCTGCATGTGTTGCTCCCCTGCGGTTTCAATCAGCAGAGAGAAGCAGGGATAAGATGCAGCTTCCTATCCCTGTCTCTCTCCATACACAGCGCCACCTACTGGCCGGCGCCGGTATTACAGTTCATTTTAAATCACACACGAAAAAAGCAGCACAAGCTGAAAAATCCAGGGGGGGGAGGGGGGGCAAGTGCCCCCCCTTGCCCCCCCCTGCGGACGCCCATGGAGATGGGGAGAGACACAGGGAAAGGGGGGAGGGAGGTCCGGGAGAGATACAGGGAAGGGAGGGAGGTCGGGAGAGACACAGAGAGGGGGAGGGAGAGATGGGGAAGAAATACTGAGGGAAAGGGGGAGGGAGAGATGGGGAGAGATACAGGAAAGGGGGAGTGAGAGAGATGGGGAGGAACACAGGGGAAAGGGGGAGGGAAATGGGAGGAGGGTACAGGGAGATGGGGGGCACAGGCAAGAGAGGGGGAGGGAGGGAGATGGGGAGAGACACAGGGAAAGGGGGGGAGGGAGAGAGATCGGGAGAGATAGAGGGTCAGGAGCTAAACAGGACTTAGGACCAACTACCAATACCTAAGATGGATACCGTAAAAGGCAGCTAAAGGGTTAGTTGCGAAAGGTAAGGAAACTGGTTCCCCTGTTGGCGTCCGAGCACTGGTCCCTGCATGTGCGAAATTCTCCTTGGAGATGTTCCGCCGCTGAACAGGCGTAAACCGTGGTTGCGTGTCCGGGAATCTTCATAAAATCTTTGTCCCTTAGGCATGAGGTTTAGGGCCTTCACCCTTCCAATCATACTTAGGTGCTCGTATACTGGTGTCCTCTTGGATGGTATGGCAGCAGAGCTTGCCTGGACACCTATCACCATGTCAATAGTGGGTGCTGAGCACTCCTCAGTGTTATTCCCCGAGGCCTACGGCCAAATGGGGTTCAGGCACGGACAGAGCAGGCCCGTCAGAAGGGCACAGACGTAGCAGGCCAATCAATGGGGCGCAGACAGAGCAGGCCAATCAATGGGGCACAGACGTAGCAGGCCAATCAATGGGGCGCAGACAGAGCAGGCCAATCAAAGGGGCACAGACAGAGCAGGCCAATCAAAGGGGCACAGACAGAGCAGGCCAATCAAAGGGACACAGATAGAGCAGGCCAATCCTGGGTTGCGTCTGAATGAGTAAGAATGGACCCTTGCGCTTGGGCAGAGTCCCCGAAACATTTGTAACCCTTCAGGGTAACTTGTGACATAGGACCACTAGATGCCAACTCTTTTGACAGTGCAATATTGTGTCAATAAACCTGAACTGGGACTAGCATTCCCTAAATGCCCAGGAAGCAAAATAGTGGTAATCCAGCTGTAGCGGATACAGGCTGAAAATGTTACAGTGATTATAGTGTCCTTAAAATCAAGACATACAGCGTGATTAATTTATAACTGTGAATGGGTTATGCACATGAAGCTGCAGACCTGTTTGAGATTTTTTCATCAATATATGTCTCATCAATATGCCATCTGAATAGAATTAGTGTCAGCATAGACTGGTCTCTCATATCAGTTTGAGCCAGAGCCAGGCCTGCTTACCTTTTTATATTCACCCTGGATAGTGAGTATCTTACTAGAGTAGTCTGGTCTCTGTCTCTAAGGATGGACCAGGCACATATCTACTGAAGCATAGGGACTGGAACTTGACCCTAATTGTGCAATATAAAAGCTTCACGCGTCCTTTGTATAATATAAAATCCAACAAAAAAATATCAGCACACCAGTTCCTCTAGCCAGTGTGTAATTACAGAGCAGATTGGACTCTTGCTGTACTGGGGTTTTGAACTACCATAAGTAACATACAATAGTGTGCTTACTCTTGACCTAATAGGAGGTAGATAATGAGAGGAGAGTTAGTGGCTAAAGGGCACAGCCATGTTATCAGCTCAGCCCATCGATCCCTTACTGGCCACATGTAAGCTGAAAAACCCTATCAAAGAATAGTGAGCTACATGACTTCTGGCTCTGTATGCGCCATGTTACAGAGCCAGACCCCAGTGGGGAAGAAACCTTGATGTCCGACCACCGTGGGTGGAGGAGGGGGCGCGAGTAGGGGCACCCTCCTTAGCTGGGCGGATGCATGCGGTTCTTGGAAGTAGCCGTGCGGCAAGGTGGCCACGTGTGTGAGCGGTCCGGCCGCCGAGAACTCGCGCCCGATACCCTGAGTGCCGGCAGGCTCACACTGGAGCTTGGGGGATCAGAGGAGTTAGCCAAAAGGCTAGTCTCCTGAAACCCTGAGTAAAGCGCCCATAGCCCGCAGGGAGGGTTAACCGCCGGGCGCTAGAGAGTGGGGTGGGAGGGTGAAAAACAAAGGGGGTAGCTGAAGGGTATCCCCAGTAAACCCCCCCATAAAAACCACCACAATTAGAGGAGACTTCCCCAAAGAAACGGAGGAAGCCCAAAGAAGGCAAAAGGGCAGTAACCCCAAACCAAATAACATGAAAAATAACTAAACATAATATATATGCATATATAACATAAAATAAATAAATAGATATAAAATGAAAATTAAATATAATATAAAAGAAGTATATATAAAAAATAAATATATAATATGAAAATTAAATAATATAAAAATATATATATATATCTAAAAATAATATATCATATGATAACTAGAATAATTAATATAAATCATAAATAAATCACACTAAACCCCAAAGCCACCCACTATAAGCAGGAGGCAGTGGTACTCGGAACTGTACTGACTGCGGAGCAGCAAAGAAAGAGGCAATGCTGTATGGGGAGGGGAGTTTTATAATAACTAACTGTTTTCTGATTGGTTGTTTTTTTGCTGCTGTGGAGGTCTAGTAAAGAGAGACTAAAGTAAATACTGGCCTCCTGTCATGTTATAACATTGTAGATTATGCTAGTTTATAAAATATGTTATTGATGTATGATGGCTTCATTGTTACATTGTCTCTGATTTCCAGACAGTTTGCAGCTTAGTGAATAGCTCTAACAGTTTGCCCAGCAGGCATTGCCAACTTCACCCATGCTTTACATGCTCAGTGGTCATGTGACTCCAAGTGGCCAATCCGCGGCCATGTTGATGGTAGAACGCAAACTACATGTCCCGTGATGCCTCGGGTCTCGCACGCTGCGCTCTGACTGACGCACGTTCCTTTAAACCATCCAATGGGCGCGCTGCGTGCTCCGTCACGTGTCCTCCTGGGAGCTGAGGGGCAAGTTTGAATCCTGGGACAGTTGATGTGGTGCGGCCGGTCCCTTCCACGCAGGTAGGTGGGCAGGCAGTGAGAGAGAGGGTCACTTACCGGCCGGGAGCGGGCACAGTGCCCGGGGGGGAGGAGGGGGGGACGGACCGCTCCTTATACCGAGTGTGGGGGGAGACTGGGAGAGACTTATATTATTATTATACACTGTGTATTATCTATCATTATTATACACTGTGTATTATCTATCATTATTATACACTGTGTATTATCTGTCATTATTATACACTGTGTATTATCTGTCATTATTATACACTGTGTATTATCTATCATTATTATACACTGTGTATTATCTATCATTATATTATTATTATACACTGTGTATTATCATTATATTATTATACACTGTGTATTATTATTATACACTGTGTATTATTATTATACACTGTGTATTATCTATATTATTATACACTGTGTATTATCTATATTATTATACACTGTGTATTATCTATATTATTATACACTGTGTATTATTATTATACACTGTGTATTATTATTATACACTGTGTATTATCTGTCATTATTATACACTGTATTATCTGTCATTATTATACACTGTGTATTATCTATCATTATTATACACTGTGTATTATCTATCATTATTATACACTGTGTATTATCTATCATTATATTATTATTATACACTGTGTATTATCATTATATTATTATACACTGTGTATTATTATTATACACTGTGTATTATTATTATACACTGTGTATTATTATTATTATACACTGTGTATTATCTATATTATTATACACTGTGTATTATTATTATACACTGTGTATTATTATTATTATACACTGTGTATTATCTATATTATTATACACTGTGTATTATCTATATTATTATACACTGTGTATTATTATACACTGTGTATTATTATTATTATACACTGTGTATTATCTATATTATTATACACTGTGTATTATCTATATTATTATACACTGTGTATTATTATTATACACGGTGTATTATTATTATTATACACTGTGTATTATCTATATTATTATACACTGTGTATTATCTATATTATTATACACTGTGTATTATACACTGTGTATTATTATTATTATACACTGTGTATTATCTATATTATTATACACTGTGTATTATCTATATTATTATACACTGTGTATTATTATTATACACTGTGTATTATTATTATACACTGTGTATTATTATACACTGTGTATTATTATTATTATACACTGTGTATTATTATTATTATACACTGTGTATTATTATTATTATACACTGTGTATTATTATTATTATACACTGTGTATTATTATTATTATACACTGTGTATTATTATTATTATACACTGTGTATTATGTTATTATTATACACTGTGTATTATGTCATTATTATACACTGTGTATTATGTCATTATTATACACTGTGTATTATCTGTCATTATTATACACTGTGTATTATCTGTCATTATTATACACTGTGTATTATCTGTCATTATTATACACTGTATTATCTGTCATTATTATACACTGTGTATTATCTGTCATTATTATACACTGTGTATTATCTGTCATTATTATACACTGTGTATTATCTGTCATTATTATACACTGTGTATTATCTGTCATTATTATACACTGTGTATTATCTGTCATTATTATACACTGTGTATTATCTGTCATTATTATACACTGTGTATTGTCTGTCATTCTATTATTATACACTGTGTATTGTCTGTCATTCTATTATTATAATATATTCAGTGTATTATCTATTACTATATTATTTTCCTGTTACAGAGTCAGACATTATATTATTATACACTGTCATTATATTATCTATCATATTATACACTGTGTATTATCTATTACTATATTATATACGGTTAGTCAGACATTATATATACACACTATATTATTATATCCTCTTACAGAGTCAGACATTATATTATACACTGTGTATTATCTATTACTATATTATATCCTGTTACAGAGTCAGACATTATATTATACACTGTCATTATATTATCTATCCTATTATACACTGTGTAGTATTATTATAATATCTATCATTATATTATATCCTCTTACAGTGTCAGCCCATATATATACGGAATTTGTTGGCGCTATATAAATAATAAAATAATAATATATAGATATCATTATATTATATACAGTGTGTATTAATTATATCTATCATTATATACTGTGTATTATCTATTATATTATCTTTCATATTGTATCCTCTTACAGTGTCAGACCTTCTATATACACACTGTATTATCTGTTACTATATTATATACTGTTACAGAGTCAGACATTAGATTATTATATTATCTATCATTGTAGCGGAGCTGCAATATTAAAACCCAATATCTCTGCTGGTACAGACAATAATCCAAGTGAAGCGCTGGAAGTAAATGCAGTATCCCAAATCCCCCAGTAACCGGATGAAACACAGTTCTGGGAGTCAACTGACGATTTTATTCACAGCTCCAGTATTTATGTGATTCCCCATGCAAGGGGTTTCTTTAGTCACTTTTTATAGGGGTTGTACAGGAGAGGACTACATGGGGAACTGAATATACAGGACATTTATCCCACCATGCACTGCTGTACGAGAGGGATACTCCCACTAGAATATCCTGTGAAGTGGATTATCCCTCTGTACAGCAGAACTGGCTTTTCACACAAAAATACATAACTTTAATATTATTCATAGGATTATACCGAATGACCGTTCGGTAGATAGCTGGGGTCTGAGCACACACTTTGTGAAAGTACCGCTCCGATTCCAGCATAAATAACCGAACGCAGCACGAAACATACTTTAATATACATTCATCTAAAAAGTACCGAATACATGATGGAGAATAAAATACCGAAGGACCAGTGCTCCCGAACGGCCTGGAAGGCCAGCGGTGTTCGCGCCGTCAAGTAGACGATTTTGGTTCCAGGCACTCGACGACCAAACATTGCTGGGCTAACAAAGGATCCAAGATGGCTGACCGCCGCGTGGTCGGTAGCCGAACGGCGGCCATCCGGGAAAGCAATTGTGGCAGAACCAGCCTCGCCACTGGGCATTGGAGAAGACTGATTGCCAGCCTCCTGCCCTGTGACTATGGCCCCATGTTGAAATGCTGGATTTTCCCCTGCAAAGACCCGAAAGCCGGGTCATTCGGTACTTTCCCTATGTGAGCAGTGTTACCCCAGATAGCTATGCCGTGGAGCCCATTCGTATAACCAAAGACTATGTAAAAGACTTTGGCTGCATGGCAATTGAACTGTATGTATGTGATCTGAGCGCCATTCAGTAATCTGCGCTCAGATCTAAGCTATCTGGGGATATGTTGAATGTATCCGTTTTATGCAATCGCTGCACAGTTATATATTTTTATGTATTTTATTGTATTTTGCTACCATGTGGCTAATGGAGTTTTGCCTCTGTCCTTGGAGATAATTGGATTACTTCCCAATTATCTCCAGGATAGAAGACTCTGTGGAACTGGTTTTGGGCAGAAAAACCATGCTTCATTTTGTCAAATAGGACTTTCCCTTAACTTTTTAACCCCTGAACCGATTGCCCTGATTTTTGAGTGTGTGTATATTTCAAGCATGCAGATTCTGAAAATGTATGTGAATGGCATGTATATTTTGGAAGTTATTAATATTTTGTAAAAACTGTATTTCTCTGCGTGTGAAAATTATATTACCCATTGTGTTCAGTAATCATATCACAGGCAAAGGGGAGGATTTTGTGTGGGAGTGTCTGTGTGTATTGTACGGATTGATTAGTTGTATTTCAAAACCCTGTGGGCAGTACTATATATGTGGATTGGGAATAAAAGAGGCTGTATGTGCCAGTACAGTCAGTTCTGCTTGACCCTCAAAACGAAGTGTCGTCTCGTTACTGGGGGAATCTGCTACAAGGGATTGCTATGCTAGTCATACTCCCTTGCTATAATCACTACTAAGCTCTTGTAAGAGCTTGTTCCTGTCTTGCTCTCTGGAGGAGCCTACAGTGGTTATGGTGTCGGCTGGAGTGCTTGGAGCCCTCAGGAAGCACTAGGAGCATCCTTCAACGGAGGTACCCAGTCGGGGTGCCAGGTGATCCGTTACAGCAATTAACAGCCGATTGCTACACTGTTGCTATCGGTTAATGGGAGCCACACGACCATCTGTGTGTGGGCTCCCATTTGGTACTTTATTAGTTTCACGAACAGTGTGTAAAGTCACTGTTTGTGAAACTACCATATGAATGCTAGTGGCTTTCGGCCGTTAGCATGTGAATGATCTCTATTACAGCAATACATGCATAAACCGAATAAACGCAGCTTTTGTAAGACAACCTTCAGACTGAATAGTACGACCTCAAGTGGCTGGTTTTGCCACAATGCTTCCCCAGAATCAAGCCGGCATACACAGTCTGATCCCAACGGATCGGCTTGGGGATGTCCGGAGGAGTACTCACAGATCACTTTTCAAGTTCAGTTTGTCTGGATAACCCGTCGGCGTTACCATTTTGCTTCCCTGGGCGGTAATGAATAGTAAAGTCAAAAGGCTGCAGCGCCAAACTCCAGCGCAGCAGCCTGGCATTGTCCCCAGCCACAAGGTTCAGCCACACCAACGGGATGTGATCTGTGAGTAAGGAGAAAGGTTGTCCATATAAATAAGGCTGTAGCTTTTTGAGGGCCCACACCACGGCCAGGCATTCTTTCTCGATGGCGGCGTAGCTTACTTCACGGGGCAATAACTTTTCGGCTTAAGTAAGCTACGGGATGTTCTCCGCCATCTGCTCCAACTTGGCTCAGCACTGCTCCCAATCCAAACATTGAAGAAATCATTTAGTTGGATCAGGAGCAGCAAGTACAGGTGCATTGGTTAAAGCAGTCTTGAATTGTTGAAATGCCTGATCACACTCTGGGGCCCAGATGACCTGTCGAAGATTTTTGCAGGTCAAGTCAGTCAGGGGTTTGGCCAGGGCACTGTAATTGGGTACGAACTTCCGGTAGTACCCTGTGGTACCCAGGAAGGCTAACACTTGGGTTTTTGTCCGGGGGGTAGGCCACTTAGCTACTGCCTCTATTTTGGAGGGTTCCGGTTTTTGCTGCCTACTCTGTGCCCAAGGTATTGCACCTCTGCCATCCCTATATGACACTTGCTGGGTATTAGCGTCAAGCCTGCCTCTCCAATATGTCGTAGGTGTTCTGACCACGTCTGGCTGTATATGGCGATATCGTCCAGGTATGCACATGCATACTCCTGGAACCCGTCCAGTAGCCGATCTACCATCCTTTGAAAGGTAGCTGGAGCGTTTTTCATTCCGAATGGCATGACTCGAAACTGGTACAGGCCAAACGGGGTGACAAACGCCGACTTGGGGATGGCATCTTCGGCTAAAGGAATCTGCATAAGTCTATTGTAGTGAGGTACTGGCCTCATGCCATCTTATCTAGCAGCTCGTTTATCCGGGGCATCGGGTAGGCATCAGACACTGTTTTGTCATTTAGACTCTGGTAGTCAACACAGAATTGTTTTGTGCCATCCTTCTTGGGTACCAGTACCGGTGATGTCCAGGGGCTATCGGAATGTTCAGTAACCCCTAGCTGCAACATCTCCTCAATTTAGGGGTCCTCGCACCCGTCTCCCAAATAGTAATTCAAAGGGGGAAAACCAGGTAGACTCTTGGGGTATCTCTGTATACGAACAGCAGATTGGGTAGGAATCGCTCCCAGTCCTTATGGGCCTCTCCAAATGTAAGGAGCATCTGCTTTAAGGTCCAATTGAACCTTTCACATAACCCATTAGACTGAGGGTGGTATGCAGAATTCACGATAGGCTTAATGCCACATATTTTCCGTAGTTGTGGCTGCTCACTGTAATAAAAAAAAAAACTACTAACTGCCCTCCGCGCGGCGGCTGGGGGCCCCCTAAATAACAATTAGGGCCATAAATCACAATGGGGGGGAACCTACTGTCAGTGGGTGTGGGCCCTAAAAAACAATAAGGGGGGGACCTATTGTCCACCTCCCGGCCCTTATTCCTGATCGGTGGGTGGGGGCCCTAAAAAACAATAAGGGGGGACAGTCTCAGCCAATCCTATGGGGAAGCATTGTGATTGACCCAGATCACCACTTCTGATGATGTCAGCAGACAGAGGCTGTTCAGAGGCAGCAGCTGCAAACTTGAATACAAGTATGATTTTACTATATTTGGAGAGGCCAGGGGGCTAGATGGTTGTTTTAAAACTATAGGGTCATGAATACATGTTTGTGTTTTTAACCCTATAGTGTTTCTTTAAGGCCAGAGTAACTGAAAAAGTACAGCTAACTTAGAGATTTTTATCCAGTTCAGCTATTTTAGCCTTAAACTTGAAATTAATTCTAAATTCTCACTTTAATAAATAAATCTGTTTGTTATACTAGGTGGGTTTGTTATTAAATGGATACTCCAGGCTCCCACAAACATTAGGTGCACTGTGTAGGTTAGGTTAGTTATACTGGGTGGGTTTATATGATTAAAGGGACACTCCAGTCTCCCACACACGTTAGATGCACTTTGTAGGTTAGGTTACAGTTAGTTATACCGGTTGGGTTTATATTATTAAAGGGACATTCCAGGCTCCCACACACGTTGGGTGTAGGTTAGGTTACAGTTAGTTATACTGGGTAGGTTTATGTTATTAAAGGGACACGCCAGGCTCCCACACACTTTAGGTGCACTGTGTAGGTTAGGTTACAGTTAGTTATACTGGGTGGGTTTATATTATTAAAGGGACACTCCAGGCTCTCACACATACATGTATTTATGATTAGTATTGTTCTATAAACCCAACCTTTCTGTCGCTACTTGTTTCCAACACACCATGGTATTCCTAAAGTTCTGTTGTACATTAAGTCATAACTTAGATTTTTTGAATCTTCTAGTTCAGCTTCTTACAGTAGAAAGCTGACAACCGAACTACACACGGCAAGTTGTGTAATGCACTACTTGTGGGATAATCTCAGCTGTGCTATAGAAAGTGAAGTGGAGATAACTCACCTCATGGTTAGAGGAGAACATTTTTATGCTACAAAGCTTTTTATGCAGCAAATACATGACCTTAAAGGTTTACTCCAAGCACCATGACCATTTACATGTTTTGAAGTTGTCATGGTGCCTGTAGTCTGCATTTGCAGTGTTTAGCTATGAAATGCTGCAGAGTTAAACCCCTTTGCTACCAGAGGTGGAACTTCACCACGTGCAGTGTGATTAGCCAACCCGGATCAAGAGTTCTCTGGTGGCAAAGTCAATGCTGTATATTCTCATATTCCCATGCTTACAATGTCATTCATTGGCTGGGAGTGACCAGTGCGGACCCAGTTAAGGGGGCAAACCATTGTAAACCTATTTGTTCCGTTACCTGTAAACTCTGCCATGGTACACTTACTATCAGCAGGCTTGGAGTGACCTTTTAAATACAAAGAAAACATTGATTGTGTATACATACGTTCATGCACTCTTGACGACCATATTGACGTTTTTATGAAAATGTAACCTGCCTTTACTGTAATGCATGCGTTGGATTGCATAACCGGAGCATCCTGTTTACAAATATGTAATCTCTACCAGTTTGTTTTCTCTCCCCCCTCCAACACTTTCCCAATTCAGTCCCCCCTCCCATGTTTGTTATCAAATTGCAGCTGCTCTGTTACTGTCACATTGCAGTTGTGTGGGTGGGCAATGTGAGGTTGCTGGCATAACGTTTTATATACATGTTGTAGTATTTCTAGATCTGCCATATTTTCCTGCATACATCGTTTCCTTATGTTGCTGCCCTGCAGTATGTGTAATTCATGTGCTGCATGTTTCCTTAATTAGATTTTTCTCTTTTGTATTCTAATTATCCATATTGTAGAACTTCACATTGTTTAAGCCTTTATGTATAAGTGTTGTGTGCAGGAAACATGGTAGGTTTGGCAATCCCTATTTCTAATATAAAAATCTATTTCTTTAGACCTGTACCTATACCTTATATTGTTATAAACTCTCCATTCCCCTTTATTTTTGTAATCTACTCTCACCCCTATTTACTATACTGGTTCTAAAGTTTGTGGAGAGTTTTTAATTTATTTGCTTTATATATATATTTCCTTTGTGATATCTCGTATAAATTGTTGTTGATGTGGTGGGCAATGTAGTAAGTTTCGTAATTTTTTTTGTTTAGTTTGCTAGGTTTAAAAAAGGCCTTCCTGGAAACCTCTTCAGAATGGATGGACATGGGGGTAAGCAGATGTTTTTATGCAGATTTCGTTTACACTTCCAGAGCTATTTTAAGTCTGCGTGACACTTAATGGAATTGGATAAAGCCATTTGTAGGAATTCATTTAGTATTTTTACACCCTTACATAACTCTGCAATTACCAGCTCTACCACTGATTCTTCAGGGGGTGGGGGACCTTTAAAGGGTATGTTATGACAAATACAATTTAACCCCTTAAGGACCGGCCTGTTTTTGCGATGTTTTACGTTAAGGACCAGAGCAGTTTTAACACCTTTGTGGTGTTTGTGTTTAGCTGTAATTTTCCGCTCTCATTTACTGTTCCCATACAAATTATAGATTGGTTTTTTTTTCAGGGCAAGAAGGGCTTTCTTTACATACCATTATTTGTATCATGTCATATATTTTACTTTAAAAAAATAAAATAAAATATGGTGAAAAATTAAAAAAAACAAACATGTTTTTGGACTTTTACTTACCTACAAAAGCTAATGAAAAAAAACTGCTAAATAGATTCAATATTTTCTCGAGTTTAAAAACACCCAGTGTTTACATGCTTTTTTGCTTTTTTTTGCAAGTTATAGGGCTATAAGTACAAATACGAAATTGCTGTGTATATATAATTTTTTTTAATTTATCAAAAGTGACATTGTAACACTATTATTTGTCATAAATCTCTGAATCACACCCCGCATGTACATATTTTTTTAAAGTAGACAACCCGGGGTATTCAATATGGGGTATGTCCAGTCTTTTTTAGTAGCCACTTAGTCACAAACACTGGCCAAAGTTAGCATTTATATTTGTATGTGTGTTAAAAAAGCAAAAAACGCTAACTTTGGCCAGTGTTTGTGGCTACTAAAAAAGGCTGAACGTACCCCATTTGCAATACCTTGGGTTGTCTTCTTTTGCAAATGGTATGCCATCATGGGGGTAACTCTCATTCCTGGACTACCATACGCTCTCAAAGGCAACCTAACCAATCTGACAAATTTCAATGAAAAAAAAAAAAAGTAAAATCAAGCCTTATATTTGACCCTGTAACTTTCAAAAACACCGTAAAATCTCTACATGTGGGGTACTGTTATACTCGGGAGAATTTGCTGAACACAAATATTAGTGTTTCAGAACAGTAAAACGTATCACAGCAATAATATCAGTGAAAGTGCCGTTTGTGTGTGAAAAATGCAAAAAAAGTCACTTTCACTGACAAAATCATCGCTGTGATATGTTTTACTGTTTCGAAACACTAATATTTGTGTTCAGCGAAGTCTCCTGAGTAAAACAGTACCCCCCATGTACAGGTTTTAGGGTGTCATAGAAAGTTACAGGGTTAAACACAGTGCTAGCAAATTTAATTCGCTGGACTTTCGTTGTCAGGCATGTCCCTCAAATTGCAATCAATAAAATTTACTTAATTATGTAAAAAAATATTACATAAATATGCACATAGAATCTAAGTGTATATTTATATAATTATTTATGTATATGGACATGTATATTTCATATTATTTTTATTCCTTCCCCTTCCCGTTCCCCTTCCCCTTAAATTACATATAATTTTTTAACATTTATTTTTATTTATTTTATTATATATACACTATATATAGTTATTATATACGTGTAATTTAATTAAAAGTGTATTTTTATATTAATATATGTATATTTAAATATAAAAATACACTTAAATATACACATGTATAATGTCATATTATTTTTTTTTTCTCCTTTTATTTGTGATTTTCCACTTGCAGGGAGACTGCCTGTCAGCACAGACAGTCCCCCTGCAGGCAGATACACAGGCACCTATTGCGATCACCTGGCGTCGGGGGACCCCGCCGGGGGACCGGCGGCGATCAGGTAAGTACCCCAAGACCGTTATGACAGTTCAGGACCGTCATCGCTCCTCAAGGGGATGTTTCCGATGACGGTCCTGAACAGTCATCGGTCGTCAAGGGGTTAATCTTGTATGAGAGATTTATCAGAGATTTAAATAAAAACCTGCCTATTTTTTTGAAAGCTGCTTATAATACATATTCTGCCTCTTTGTAATGTTGGAGAGAAAGTCTGGCACTTCTGTTGGCTGCAGATTGAAAAGTAGCTGTCTCCCGAGCTCCGACCAATCAGAGCATTGCAGCAGATTACCACAGTAAAACTCTGACACTGTAAGTGCCTGAGCTCGCAAGACAGTTACTCTTGGTCTGTACCCGGCTCAGGCCAGATTTCCAGCACACAGGACTACCAGATCAGCATGCCCCCTTCACTGCAACGTTAGGGAGAAGGGAGAATGAATATTTGTTTTTAAATAATTATTTGCTATACCCCTATACATGGATGAAGGGGGTGTTACTAGGGAGGGGCGCTATAAAGATTTTTTGCACAGGGCACCTTAAGGCCGGCCCTGCTTTCACACTGGTCTATTAGTATAGCGGCTGATGCAAAGAGTTTGACAAATGTCAAGATCTGTAACGACTTTTAAAGATTTGCCTGCTAAAGCTGAACTATTTTTGGATATGTGGAAAGTATCCCTAATACTATAGTGGCCCCCCATCTCCTTCCCTCCACTTTTTCACTTACCAGGTTCCAGCACAGATGTCTTTTGGCTCTGACGGGGTGGAAGGGGGAGGAGAGAATTAATGTGCATGTGTGGCGAGTGCATTAGGCCCTCCCCTTAGGAAATCGCTGCACCCAGACCACTTCAATGAGAGCTGAAGTGGTCAGGGAGCCTATAATGTCCCTTTAACTGGTGGATACGGTTTTTGCTTTTTAATAACAGAACTTTTTGTTTCGTAGAATTCTCTCTTCTGACAGATGAGAAGTTTGACTTTGATATATCATTGTCTCCTACAAGGTAAGTTCTAAGAGGGTTTATATATTGTGTGTGTGTGGAGCCATGTCTGAAGAATGTCATGTGTATCTTTTATCTCTCCGTTTTGTTTTGTTTTTTTTAGTGCAAAAGAAGACAATGAAGATTGTGATGATGAAGTATTTATTGGGCCTGTTAAGCACAAAGAAAAATGTGTTAGTGCTGCAATTGCCAGTCGAGAGTCTGATGAAAAGACCCCTCTGCAGATTAATGACAAGGCCATCTGGAGCCCTCTCAGTGGAGACAAATTTGTGGAGATATTCAAAGAGGCCCATTTATTGGCTCTACAGCTGGAATGTCTTGCCAGTGAAGACCAAAAGAGAGAGCAAGCTGAACAGACTGCTAACAGCCACGTGATGGAGAAGTTTGTTCAGGAGTCCAAATCTAAACTAAAATTGCTTGAAGCTGGCTTTGAGTGCAACAAGACTCCAGTTGCTCTAAAGAGAGAGACTTATTGTGTGCAGGAGAGTCCTTACCACCAATTGCCACCTTCTGTTCAGCAACGACTTGCTGTGTCCAGCACAGATCATGGGAAGCAGTCTGGTGCTGAGAGTTCAAAGCAATGCAGCCCAATTAGAGCACTGAAACAAACTAAACCCTTCTCTGTTTCCCCACTTGCACAGAAAACTAAAGCACTACAGCCAAAAAGCAATGTGCCAGCTGCAAATGGCAACAAGCCCACACTAAGCCGGTTACAGAATACAAAGACTTCTACAATGCACCAACAAAAGAATTTCCTAACAGTTGAAAAGGTAGAGCAAGTGGATCTCTTTTCTATCATAACATTCCTCATTTTTATACATGGGTATTTGTTAATTGCACCCCTGACAGAAGACACAAGAGTTTCTTAATGCAACAAACTGATAGGAACCAAAATGCTGTTGAATTATAATTTATGGTGGGAATATGATTAAAGGAACACTATAGCATTACCAGTAGTCACGTATTCCTAACACTATAGTTTAATCTACTTATTTTGGTGTCCCCCCTGCCATGTGAGGGATTCACAGCGTTTTCCCAGCACAGGTTTTAGAGAAAGCTGACGCAGCAGAGAGAAAATAAGGTAACGATCTTATTTGGCTGCATCTGGCTTTCCCTCATGATAAAGCGAGCCCTAATGCTCTTGTCATATCTTGGTCAAGGCAATTTAGATCATGTTTCAAGTCTTGTCTTGGGCAGTGGATGTGGGCATACAACACCGCGTTCTCTGTAGTCAGCAGTCCTAGTGCAGGAGGTGCCAAGTGTGAGAGCCTGACCCATGTGACAGAATTATGCTTTGCGTTGTTGTTTGTTTATTCTCTTTCATTAAAAGCTCCAGCAATTCCCATTATTGATAAAGCGCCAACAAACTCTGCAGCGCTGTACAATAGTTATTCAGTTCAAGTATGCTGTTTTTCAATCGGTAAGCACATTGTTTTACAGGGTGCATTGCAGAGTCTTGCACAAACACACTATTTATGTTTACAAATATCTTTTGTATTGATTGATACAGAAAGGAACTATCACATCAAACAAGTTTGGAATTACTCATTTGATAAAGCCTGTTTTATCCAGGTCACACTTTATTTGTTAAAGGAGCACTTTAGCGTTATTAATAAAAATATGTATTAACTAGGGCTCATGTTTGTCACCAGCCCCTCTCAGAATGGAATTAAAGGTATTTTACTTACCTTTTCTCCATTGCTGCGCTGCTGCTGGCCTGCCTCCAGTGCCAAGATAATTGATTTTGATGACCTCCAGTGTTATTGTACATGTGCAGCAAAATGCATCTCAAGGGGGAGCATTCAGCCTCTTCATGCAGGACATGTAGACGCTGAACATAGGTGCTTCATGGCTTGCAGGTTATAACCAGGAAGTCCCACTAGTAACGGTCTGAGTGACATCCATTAGAGGTGTGACTAGGTAGCAATGTAAGCACTGCATTTTCTCTGAAAGGGCAGCGTTTAAATTGCTGAGCCTGCAGGGACAAGCTACAGGCACCAGAAACAAAGCTGAATTGAGCAGTGAGACTGCAGGGGCATGATGTATGCCATGCAGTACGCTATTTGAAGGCAACCTTCAACGCTCCAGAAGCTCCAACCTTAAGGCTGGCAAAGCATCAGGGAAGATGGAGTGCTGAATGATGCCTACCCCAGATCTTTACACTAAAATGGTTTTTCATTAATCTGAGGTTGTTTTGATGCTTAGTGTCCCTTTAAAGTAAGTTATCATAGATTTAATTGTTGGTCTTTTCTCTGCAGCCTAAAATAAGCAAGAAACAGAGTCCAGTTAGACAGAAACACCTAAACAGTGCTGACTCCATTGAAGATCTTCTTTCAGATAAATCAAGCATTGCATCTGATGTCAGTGATACGTCCATCAATACCAGCATTGTGGGCCAAACAAAGAGAACTCTTCAAGCCCCAAGCAAGGTAGCATTTAGTAAAAATCTACAGAAAGTCTAATTGAAGTTAATAACTATAGCAAAGTATTTTGTGTTTTGAGTTGTGCTCTCTCTGACATTATTGCAATGTTGCCAATTTTACCTATCAGGTAATCATACATTCAAATCCTGTTGTAGTTTTCATATATTGCCAATTGCTTTGTTTAACCATGTTCCTATTTGTTTTTTCTTGCCTCCCCAAGTCTAACCTGAAAACAGATTTTAAAGCACCGGGATATGGAGCTTTCAGAAGGAACACCTCCTCATCCTCTTCCTCCCATTCCAGTATAAATACCAGCTTAAACTCCAGCTCTGCCTTCTCCCCACCTGCTGGGAATGGTAAGCCGAGCTTGCAGAGACCTTGTCCACCTGATTGACTCAAATTGACGCTCACATAGGCTTCTCTTATAAAATGTACTAAAAGAATAATAATTGTGCTAAATGAAACCTGACTCAATACCTTGTATGTATATGCTAAATCTCATTGTTTGTCTATTGGAAAACAAAACCTACCATGTCAAAGTGAACTTGTCATACAATGTATTTCAATAGTCTATATCGCCCCGATACATTAAATACATCATGTATCACAGAAATATATTGATGTACTCTATATAAATGATCAAATACCTTTGTTGCCAGCATGTCTGCATCTGAACGGAGTAACATCAGTCACTCTTTTCCTGTTCTCCCTAGCCAGCGCTAGCATCATCGGCTATGAAGTTACCTTAACAATTGCTATGTGTGGAGAGCAAAAATAGAACAGAACACCTCGGGTAAAGGGAGGACCATTTATTGTGGTCAGAAAATGTTAGCTTTCTGGGGGTATTTACTAATCCATGAATGGAAGCTAATTATAAAAGATAGTGTTATTTACTAAAACATATATTGGCGTGCTGATAGAAGTTCAAAAGCATATTCCATAATTGGGAAAGTTAAGTATTGTCTTTTGCACACAATTGGTTGCACAAAGAAATATTTTTGCACAATTTGTGTGTGTGTATATATGTGTGTGTGTGTGTGTATATATGTATGTGTATATGTGTGTGTGTATATATATATTGAAGTTTGATGCACTTGACCACTTTATTTGCACAATATTGCACAAATTATTTTCACTGTTTTGAGTCTTAAAGGCACAGCGCACTTTAATTTTTAATTGAGAGCAAAAAGACGCCTATGGGGGAGGCCGTTTCGGCTCTCCCTTGCCGTTAGTTCTTTAGCATAAAGTCTATGCTGAAGATTTGACGAACATGTGGGAGAGAGGCTTATTTTTTAAATAGGCTTTTCCTCCTAATCTATACTTTTCCCATCAGATCTGCCAGCATAATGTACAGTTGAAGCTATATGCTACTTTAAAAGTGGTTGTGTGCATGGCAGGTACTCTTTAAGCAATACTTACTGTCTGTACCTCTTTATATTGGAGAAGTGGTCAGTCCCTGTCTAGCACAGAGGAATTGGAACTGCCGTCTTCATTACAGTTTGACCATCCACATAATACTTTGATTCGGACTGGGGTCTCTGGTCACATTTCTGGGTTTCTATTCATGTAGTCAGCTTAGACAGCCCTATATTGCATTGTAACCGAATAGCACTTTTGGGAAGCATTAGAAATACTATACTTTAGAATGCATTTTAACTGGTAAATTTCTCACCAAACCAGGAAGGGACTTAAACCTTCCTGATACTCCCATTATCTTCTGTGATTGCTCAGCAGATACCATATACCATTCCTTAGCAGGGTTAATGGCAGACGCGCTTCAGCTCTTAGCAGTTCAAGTCATCAGATAATTCTTCCCTATATTGTTACGAATTATCTTATTTTGTGTTTTTCAGCAAAACTAAATGCCTCCCTAAACACCTCTATCAACGGCTGTAAGCTCAAGACAAATTCAAGTAGATTGGCTCTAGCTCGTCCTACTGGAGGGTCTGCTTCTTCTTTAAAAACCAGTAGCACTGACCTGTCAAACCCCCTGTCGAGACAGACAAGTGCAGCAAAGGTAAAAGTTGCTGTGATTGGGAATAAGCCCTCTGCAGTATCTGTGGGCCAACCACGGACGCCAGCTGGCAAGTTCCTAAGGCAGACATCTGCACCAAACCTTCTGAGGTTTCCTACCCAAACAAAAGCAGAGAATGCCGTTAAAGGAGTTGCTGGTAGTAAACCTCAAGCCAGGGTATTGCCGACTCCAACAAGCCGCCTCAAGCTGCCTCAGAAACCTGGAGGTAAGATTGAAAATTGTAATGATCTCTTCAAGGGAGAAAACCATGTGTCAATCTCCCATCCTGCTTCTGTGTTCCAATCTGACAGGTCAAAAGTGGACATGTTCTCTCAAATATACTTGACATAAATATCTTTTAAACGATTGTCTTTATATTCACAGGCTATTATAGATTTACTACTTTAAAGTCAGTTCCACTATGGAAGCAACCATCTTAGACTTGCAAAACAATAATCAATATAACTTGGTTGTATATGGTCAATCAGAACCAGAGAGGCTGATGGCATCCCACGTTCCATTGCCAAAAAGTGGAAATTGCCTGAGTTTTAAGTTAGTTAGAATTCTTTTATGATATTGCTAATCTAATTGATTGTGGGGGAATAGTGTGTGTGTGTGTGTGTGTCTCCCTGAACATGTCTCCTGCAAGTGAAATAGATGGACTTAAATAGTGTGAAGGATCCGTGCTCTCATTCTAGTATTTAAACGGATCAACAAAGAAAGCTAGACTTCCCGACCTGAAGTAGGGGGGCTGGGCTTCTGTCAACCAGAAAAGGGGCGTAAATCTGTGCTTTAAAATTAATAATTTGCTGGTGCTACTTTATTACAGGGCACATGTATATATTATATTTAATATAGAAATGTTGGGGTATTCAGTGTTGTTGTAACTTTTGATATTTGTGGTTCATGTTCAATATACTTTTTAGTGTTTGTATATAATCAGGCTAAGGTAAAAATGGGCCAATACAATAAAAGTAAGATTTAGCACTGAATACAATGTCATTACAAACTTTCATTCTACCGTAGAATATCTTTCACTATTTTACAACCAGAATTGATTTATTTTTTTAGCCATGTCACCTGATCGTTCTGTAGTGAAAACAATGCAGCCGACCAGGCTTCTGTCTTGCGGTGATATCAGAAGGTAATTACTGTGAATTTATTTTAACCTCCGTGAAGTTTCAGAAATGAATGTTGGCAACAAAGCGGCTCTGTCCCCAGCTAATGGAAAGTTAAGCATTTCATAAAGTTAAAAGCTTTATGAAATGCTCGTAAAGACTGTGTTTGTTAAAATGCAAATGCTGTTACATGGTATCATAAGATTAAGTAGGGACTAAAATGTCACCTTTACAAAACCTGACAAAAGGCAGCTACTGTCGTCCAGTTTCTTTTATCCCAGCCGGCACTAGTGACGTCTTTTGGAATTCTCTTGCTCATCACAAGATAATTCCTATGGAGGGTCTTGCAGGATTCTCAATAGGCTTTGGGCTCCTGGCAGGAATTGAAGAAAGAAGCTGGCTGTGTCCACGGGGGACCGTGTCGGCTAAGTGCTACCCTGGATCACAGCAGTCGTGTGTGTGGTAAATATATTCTCAAAAAATCCTGCACTCTCTGTAACTGTTACTTTCTTGCCCGGTGCTTGTCAGCATAACATAGAAATAGTAGTAGGATAGCACTCCCAGGTCTTCATTTGAAATAAGATATCTTGTATTGCTTATTAAAAAAAAATCAAAAAAAAAATCAATGTTTCAGTCTCACCACAGACTTTCATCAGAATAAGCATATAGTGTACATACATACAATCATTTTATATCCTGAAGTAAATCATAAACTCGCCACATCTGGCAACAGAAATATGTATATTTGATTTTCTCACCCCTACTGGGTGGTATGTTTATTCCTCATTCTTGGGTCCTCTACCATAGGCCTTGGAGTTTGAGGGTTCTGTGCAGTGTCTTAGCTGTTCCTAGAACTGCATCTTCTGGACAGCAATCTCCGATCTCCCACCTGGAATCTGTTGAAACCACTCCCCCAACTTGGGAGTCACAGTCCCAAGTGCTCCTATCACAACTGGGACTACTACTGCCTTCACTTTCCACATCCTTTCTAGTTCATCCATGGTATTTGTCCACCTTCTCATGTTCCTTCTTCCTGATGTTATAGTCACTGGGTATTTCCACATCCACCACGACTGCAGTCTTCCGTTCCTTGTCTACCACCACGATGTCTGGTTGGTTGGCCAGCACTTGCTTATCTGTCTGGATTTTGAAGTCGCACAGGATCTGAGCCCTGTCATTCTCAACTACCCTTTGTGGTATCTCCCATCTGGACTTAGGCAGGTCCAATCCATATTCTGTGCAGATGTTTCAGTACACAATCCCAGCAACTTGGTTGTGTTTCTCTGTGTATACTATTCCTGCTAACATCTTGCATCCGGCTACTAGGTGCTGGACTGTCTCAGAGGCCTCTTTGCACAGTCTGCACCTTGCTTGGTGTGGTAGACTCCAGCTTCCATTGGTTATCTCTGGTGCTGAGTGTCTGTTCTTGTGCTGCTAGGATTAGTGCCTCAGTGCTGTCTTTCAGTCCTGCCTTTTCCAGCCACTGGTAGGATTTTGTCATGTGTGCCACATCCACCATTTGCTGGTGGTACACCCCATGAAGAGGTTTGTCTTGCTGTGGAACCTCCTCTCGTTCTGCATCCTCTATCTGTTCAAGTCTCAGGCATTCCCTTAGCAGTTCATCTTTGGGAGCCATCCTCGTAATGTACTTGTGGATGCTCTGTGTTTTATCCAGGACTGTGGCCTTGACACTCATCAGGCCCCGACCTCCTTTCTTCCTGGTGTACAGTCTGCAATATATAATCTAACCCAGGTGACAGAGCTGCTTTTAAATTGCTGCTTTTGGATGTATTGAGCATGTGTATTGTTACTGGATTATGAAGACTATATTTTCACAGTTGTAATTCTGGTATGTGATACTGTAGTAATTCCCTCACGTTGTTAGTTATTCAAGCACACGTGTCCCTATGTGCCTGTGGCCATGCTTGACCATGTCTTACTAACTGCTGTGAGTGACACACAGCAATGTGTAATGGTGATTAAGGAGCCTTTTTGTGGGCTGGGTGCATGATGGACACTGGGAAGACAGTCTATACTTCCCCAGTAGCCACTTGTGCTCTTGATTGACAGGGAGACTTTCTATCTGTGAAATGTATTGAATGTCTAATCTATTAATCCTTTATTTTATTTTTTAAGTGTGAATGCACAAAGTACACCTCTGAAGGATAAACCAGGAACACAACCCAGCGTTGGGAAAACAATATCGGCAACTCCTAGTACCAAACGTTTATCAGCCTTACCTACTCCCCTTAATCGGAGAACCTCTAGTGTTTTAACAACTCCCAGAACCATTCCAAGATCTTTTGCATTTGTACGCCAGACGCCAGCCCAGTCGGTATCTACTAAATCATCTGCTGTCAAGCCTCATCTTCCTAGGTAAGGGTTGTTTTTGTTTTTTCATTTTTTAGATTTGGTCTGTCGTGGTTAATGTAAAGAACACGCCTTTATTAATTCCAGTTCTATATATGTTCATTTAAACACACAAAAAGCAAAAGATCAGCGCTATCTAACAAAAAAACACATGGAGGCAGCACATCTAAGGTATGGGGGCTCCTTCACAAACACCATAAAGGAAATAGAGTAAAATCAAAAGGAAAGAGGAAGTCCACAATAAAGTCCAAATGCATATAAATATAAAGAGTCACCTGCAAGAAAACAGACAGATCTTGAAAAGGGTATTCTTCTTATGGGAAATCTCAGGTCAAAGGTAGCAAAGAGACCCAAGGGTAAACACAAAATGGGTCCGGGAACCTTTCAGCTGGCCAAATACACGGGCACTCAGATTTAGAGCCCTTGTGTATTTGGCCAGCTGAAAGGTTCCAGGTGCGAGCTCTTGGTTCATGCTGGATTAGCAAATATTGCAACTTTATCAACGGCCAAAGTTGGAAAGGAAACATTCAAAACATAAGGATCTCACCAAAGAATCCAAGGTGGAGATTGCCACCTGTGCCCTGATCAATTAAATGTGAGTACAATATATCCTTTTATTACTCCTGGTTTAATACATCCAGAGAGCACTATCTTGTTCTATTTTGTTTTCCCCTTCGTTCTCTCTTCTGCTATACTACTAATACCTGGGAACAACTTTTACCCACATATCCTAAAAGTGGGGATAATACCACTCTACACCATCCACACTAGAGTTAGTCATAGCTCTGGTAAATGTGAGTTAAAATGCTTTTTATATTTTATTCAATTAACCTCAGTGAGACATAATGTAACATTGGAATTGGTCTGCTTTCTTATATGTATATAAGGATTCCAAACTACCTCTGACCTGAGCTTTCCCATAAGAGGAATACACTATTCACAATCTGGCTGTTTCCTCGCTAGTGGCTTTTCATGGTTTGCCCCTCTGCATAAACCGCCACTACCATTATAAATTGATCAGAATGACCCAAAGAGCTGACTTAAATAAAAAATTTATCCAACTTACAGAGTTGCTTTTACGTCACTGATCATTTTGAGCACAATAGTTTAAATTTGTGAAGTAAGCATGAAGTGATTTTCTAATGTATTATGTCTAGGATTGCATGTTGTGGCGGTATACCCACAAGTAGCTGGTTGTCACACCAAGAATTCCCTTTCCCTTGTGTCTGTGTAGATCCAGAGTGATTAACCCCTTTGACGCAGTGTCTAGTAGTCTAGACTTAGTGAAGGGTGAAAAGAACTGGTTATTGGTAAAACATGTCACCTTTTTATACCTGGGGTCTCAAAAGGAGGTCCACCGGTAGAACAATACAATTGCGACATCCCAGTGCCTTGGTTCTGTATCTGAACTGGTAATTTAATTAGCAGCTAGATCGGGGCACAAACTACAATCTAACTTTAGTTCCCATGCCCACATCCTCACACAACCGGTGTTCCCAGGAAACTTGGATTAGAGCACCCACTTAGTCCACAAAGCTCCCTAATCGGATGTGGCTAGCCTGAGTTAGGTGGAAGTCCAAGTTTTAGCAGGTACTGGCTAGCCTTGAATCAGGCGTGGGGTTCCATGACGCTGTGTAGAGTTTTCTGTTCACCTAAAATGACAGTGTTTTCCATGGGTACATGCAGCTCCCCCAAGTCCTTGGTGTCATTCGTTGACTTGCAACTCCTCCAAAAAGCTGACTTCTGGTCCAGCGACCCAGAGTGCTTTTTATTGAAGCTTCAGCGGATGGCGGTAACTGCGATCTGCTCCAGACTTCCAGAGTTTTTTGGCTGCTTCCGGTTCGGCGCGCCGTGCCTCAGTGGACCCCTGGCTTGTTTGGGAGGACTCCTGAGGGGAGCTGGGATGGGAGGCATGGAGGGGTAAATAATGGTGGTTATATTTTTTAAGAGCGGTTGAGGAGACCTGTACCAGACCTAGGTGGTCAGTCACACATGTTTGTTTTTTAACCCAGTATGGTTTTGTCATTTCTTTCCATTTGCTTTACTTTTTAGGAATGGGGAATATGAAGGAAATGGCATGCATGCACCAATTAGCCCGTCTTCTCCAACAGAAGAGGAAAATTCTACCCCTGATGTTGTTCCTTGTTTTTTAAGCTTCTCTCCTGAAAACAAGCCTGTTTGTGGGAAAGAAAGTGAAATGGAAAAGCCATTGCCTGCCCCAACAACGGAGGTAAATCTGTCCCATGGTTACTGTGACATCTACTATTATTCTAAAACGTCCCACAGCAGTGATGGCCAGACTTTGCACTGCAGATATTTGTCGATTTCTCTCTGTAGCTTGCTATTACCACTATGGATGTTGGAAGTGTTTTTAATGTGGATTTAGCCCGTGTTTCTCCATAGGTTTGAAATTATTACTGGTGTCTTTAAAATTATTACAATGTTTCCTTCTCTGTTTTCATTACGTAGACTTTATTGATTGATATCGGAATAGAAAATAATGAAATTGATATTAAAGTAAGAAAACCTTCGTTGGTTGAATTTGATAGCCAACCTCTCATTGACCTTTCCAACACTCCGGAATGTAATAGGAGAACTGGGCACCCGAAATCTGCTCATATTGGCCAGGTGAGTTCTCTTTTCTCAGATTAACCATTTACACCCCTAAGGAACACTGTGTGACAAGGAATACAGACCTCTATTAACACTTTGATTTTTCACACCCCCTAGAGATAGTAACATAGTTTTACTTGCCCGATATCCCTTTGCACGCTGGTCTTGCCGAGGCTGCCATCCTGCCACTGCCTGAGATGCACCAGTCATCCCCAATAGAGATGCTTTCGCTCAAAGATTGCAGGACAGAATTAGGAATGGACTCTAATAGTTCCTTGGGTGACCATCTCTAGATGTGCTCCACGCAGCAGTGTACATTTTCTCAGAAAAGTCTCTTTGCACCAAAACCACAACATTACGCTTTAGTGGTTCTAGTTGTTCCCCCATTAACTTGTTTTACACTCAAAAGCAAAATGTTTATCTACACAGTCTTTACCTACCCCTGAACTAGAGATGGCAATACATGTTGTGTGGCAATGGCAAGTTCTCCTGCAAAGACGATCACAATAGGGAAAGAGACATTGCACCTCGTCAGCTCTTACAAATTGCAAAGCACTTTGTTAAAAGAAAACTCCAAAAAGGTCCTCTACCTGGTACTTCAAGGGACACTATAGTCACCAGAACAACTACAGCTGATTGAATTTGTTCTGGTGAGTAGAATCATTACCTTCAGGCTTTTTGCTGTAAACACTGTATTTTCAGATGAAAAAAAAATGCAGGCTTTACATTACAGCCTAGTGATAACTTCACTGGCCACTACTCAGATGGCTGTTAGAGATCCTTCCTGGGTCATGGCTGCCTAAAATGCATCCAAACATTCAGTGTCTCCTCCCTCTGCATGCAGACACTGAACTTTCCTCATAGAGATTCATTGATTCAATTCAATGAGGAGATGCTGATTGGACAGGGCTGTGTTTGAATCATGCTGGCTCTGCCCCTGATCTGCCTCTTTGTCAGTCTCAGCCAATCCTATGGGGAAGCACTGTGATTGGATCAGGCCACCACTTCTGATGATGTCAGCAGACTGCTTGTTTTGTTTTTTTTAGGCAAATAGCATGCAGATCTACAGCTTCTGGTTTGACTACAATAAGAGTTTGCTATATTTATGCAGGCGTGAGGGGCCCAGGAGGGCTAGATGGTGGTTTTAACACTATAGGGTCAGGAAAATGTTTGTTTGTATTCCTGACCCTATAGTGATGCTTTAATTTCCATGACTGTCTCTGAGTTTACAGTCACAGAGGTGGACCACCACAAAGGATGCTTATACATTTCTATAAGTTTTCAGATGTTATATAAAGCTCTTGCTGTTGTAACGTTTAGGAATACAAACATGAATACAAAGTGGTTTTGCCACTGGCACCTTTTATTCTGGCTGAGATAATCAATTCTGATTATCTCAGCCAAAATTATCCTTCCTCATACTGAAGCATCGGGGGTCTAGTGTGTATGTGCAGCAATCGCCGTGCTGTGCTGTCAGTATCTTATCTTAGGGATTCATTGAGTCAAGGCATCTCTATGGGAAGAGTTTATTCTTTGCAGGACCTTATCCAGGACGTCCTTCTAGTGGCTGTCAGTGATCAATAGTAGAGGTGGTGGTATGCAGCAGTGTAAACACTTATTTATTTTCTCCATGAACATTTAGTAAGTAGTGATTCCACCTTGATAACTAATGTCCCTTTTTATGTTTTCTTTCCTTACAGTTGATAGATTTAAGTTCTCCCCTTATTAAACTGAGCCCTGTTGTGAATAAAGAAAACATGGACTTTGATTCTCCTCTCTTGAAATTTTAAGACTTGGCCGTGGCCAGCACTGTGAAATTTTCCTAACAAACTGTAAGGCTGTTGGGGTTTGTGCCAATTTAAAATGAACAAAACGTTTGTTTCCAGAAGCATAATGTCACCATCATGTACGCGGGCAGTATATGAAGACTAAACTGCATATCATTTTAGTTGTATCTTGTGAAGTGTTTCTGATTGGGCAGAGTTAAATAACTTTTTATTAGTAATTCTGACATGCAAACCAAATAGATTCTTATTGGTGGCAAATCGTAACCTATTTATTTAAATACTGGGTTTTTGTATTTTCTCCGTCTTCCGTAAATGTTGACAATGAACAGATGTTACGGTTACAATCGAAGTATTGGTCTGTCTAATTGCCGATTCATGAATTATAAAACGGAGTCGGAAAATCTCCCCAGTATAAGCTTTCTGTTGGTTTGAGTGAATCCTTTTTGCTACAAAATAACGACGTGGTACTTTCTAAAATAAAATTAAAATAAAATGAAGATTGGAAAGGGTGTAAACATATTAGTGTTTTCTTCTGAAGTAAAGAGGGTACTGCAAAGCTTGCATATTTTGTAAAGGGTAAAAAAGGTCTTTAAAATAAGCAAATTGTCCCATGCAAGATGTGTTGTACATTTTATTGAAATTTATCATTTGTTTTAATCTTGTTCAATGAAAAAATAAAGTTAGCTGATGCATCAAATCTTTTTCAGTGTGTTTCATTGAGTTTAAAAACTGCATTATGCAAAAATTCTGGACCCTTTAGAAGTGTGAAAAATGACACCAGCAGCATATATTCAGAGGGGTACCCTCTACAAGGGAAGCCTGAAAATCTCACTATAGTCTTCATAATCACACCTACAAACTCTTGATCTCTTTCCTAGAGAGATACTGGCGCTCCCCACATGTACAAATACATCAGCACTATAATCTTCTCCTTGAGAATGTTCAGCCAATTTTGCGATGACTATACATACTGTTGTGTACGATTCATTTAAAGATCTCTGGTGAGTCCTTTTATATACTTACTGTATAACTATGGTTGTATCACTTTTTATATTGTATTCCTGAAATGCCATCCTATCTTCTGCAACCACTCTAGGCACCCAGACCACTTCAGCTTAATGAAGTGGTCTGGGTGCCAGGTCCAGCTAGGGTTAACCCATTTTTTAATAAACATAGCAGTTTCAGAGAAACTGCTATGTTTATTAATGGGTTAAGCCTTCCCCCAAAGCCTCTAGTGGCTGTCTCATTGACAGCCGCTGGAGGCGCTTGCGTGCTTCTCACTGTGATTTTCACAGTGAGAGCACGCCGGCGTCCATAGGAAAGCATTGTAAATGCTTTCCTATGCGACCGGCTGAAGCGCGTGCAGCTCTTGCCGCGCGTGCGCATTCAGCCGACGGGGCGGAACGGAGGAGGAGAGCTCTCCGCCCAGCGCTGGAAAAAGGTAAGATATAACCCCCTCAGGGCACTATAGTGGTCCTTTAATAAAAAGAATTTAAAAAAAAAACACAAAAAAGAGCTACATTATGATAAAAAAAAAATGCCAGTATATGGTGTGCAATAGAGAAACCATATATTCAGCACTGTACAGTGACCAAAAAACCAAAACAAACACGGACAGGGAACAAGAGAGCTATTTTCGAACAAGCTTAAAATCTAGGGGATGGAATGTTTGGTATGGACAAGGTAACATGCAATGTATAAAGAAAACACACATAGTATTCCATCTTTATGCAGATAAAGCTACATGGAGTGAAATATTTGTTTGAGGTGAGGCCAGCTGATGTAGAATGAAAGTACATAACTAATTGACCATCTTTCCCAAGATGGGATATTACTAATTTCTAAAACTGGAGGTTTGGGGAATGTCTGATCGAACAAACGACCAAACTGCAGTTTTTCACATGGTTCTTGACTTTTTGTGTTCTGTCTTTTCAATGTTTTTTTGTATTTATTTATTTTTTTTACTGCAAATCTGTTCCAGCAGCCCGTTCTGTATTTTTCCTTTACAGAGAAAGGAGAGCAGTCATTATTTTCACCATCAATCTCAACAAAATGCTAAAACATGTTAAATTCAAGGTTCTGGACCATTTTTTCCAGCCTGTGTAGAAAAATGAAGACCTGTGATCTGACTTATTTCTGGCGATTACTTCTTAAATGGGCACTTAGGGGGGAAAATAAACATGAAAAGGTGCGGTCATTTCCTAGGATTTTTAATTAAGTTCACGTTTACCTGTATTTCTTAAATGTTTTTCAGATGTGAGGGATTTAAAGGAACACTGTAGGCACCTAGACCACTTCTGGATATTTACATTGCAGCTCTAAGTCTGCCCTCCGTGGCTGTCGGAATTGAAACGGACCTTTGAACCGTTACCTGGCGCTGGACGTCCTCCCATTCTGAATGCGGACCTCCAGCGTCAGATTTTCCCCATAGGAAAGCACTGAATTATGCTTTCCTATGGGGAGGTCTAATATGCGCGCGACCATTGCAGCGCATGTGCATAAGGTCTCCTCTGCCGGATGACGTCCGAGGGAGAGGAGTGTGGGCGGAGCCTGACCCAGTGCTGAGGGACATTGGGCTGGATTCAGGCAAGTGGCTGCGGGGGGGACCTTTTAAACCTTATAGTGCCAGGAAAACCGATTTTGTTTTCCTGACCCTGTAGGATCCCTTTTATTAAATGTAGAAACCCACATGGCATGGGAAACATACATGTTTCTCAAACTGTTTTGTGAATGGGGAACTACTTATTGCTTAGAGCGTTAGCTGACTGTTCTAAGTCAATCAGTGGCGCTCCTACTCCCAGCAACTCAAGGCTCCAGTTTTGTAGATTTTCAGAAAGCTGATGTTCGGGGGGGGGAGAAATTGTGCTGGCAAGGAGACTTTGTGGTTAGAACATTAACGTTCACAAAGGTAAGCCAGGCATTTTAATAAAATTATGGTGCATGGGGTTTTTTGTTTTTTTTTACTTTAAAAGAAAATGGGACATCTCATAAAAGGTTAGCACAGGTTCCAGGTAATGTATTTTTCCTCCCAATTCTTTATTGTACAGTGTAAATTCCAGAAAAATTTTACCGTATATACTCGAGTATAAGCCGACCCGAATATAAGCCGAGGCCCCTAATTTTACCCCAAAAAACTGGGAAAACTTATTGACTCGAGTATAAGACACGGGTGGGAAATGCAGCAGCTACTGGTAAATTTCTAAATAAAATTAGATCCTAAAAAAATTATATTAATTGAATATTTATTTACAGTGTGTGTATATGAGTGCAGTGTGTATATGAGTGCAGTGTGTGTGTGTGTGTGTGTGTGATGCAGTGTGTATATGAGTGCAGTGTGTGAGATGCAGTGTATGTTTGTGTTGCAGAGCCTTGGTGGGGGGGTGGGCATTTTTATAAAAAAATATATATTATTTATTTTAATTTTTTTGGTTATATTTTTTTAATTATTTTTTTATTATTATTTATATTTATATATTATTAATTAATATTATTTTAATTTTTTTGTTATATTATTTTTTTTATTATTATTTATATATTATAAATTTATTTATTTTTCGTCCCCCCTCCCTGCTTGATACATGGCAGGGAGGGGGGCTCTCCTTCCCTGGTGGTCCAGTGGCATTGGCAGTTCAGTGGGGGGAGGAGGGGAGCTGGCAGAGCTGTTACTTACCTCTCCTGCAGCTCCTGTCAGCTCTCTCCTCCTCCGCGCCGGTCCGTGCAGCTCTTCTCTCAGCTCACACTGTAAGTCTCGCGAGAGCCGCACTATGACCCCGCGGCTCTCGCGAGACTTACACTGGGAGCTGACCGAGGTGCTGACCGGACCGGCGCGGAGGAGGAGGGAGCTGACAGGAGCTGCAGGAGAGGTTTCGTAACAGCTCTGCCAGCCCCCAGTCTGTATTATGGCAATGTAAATTGCCATAATACAGACAGTGACTCGAGTATAAGCCGAGTTGGGGTTTTTCAGCACAAAAAATGAATAGTCATAGTGGTAAGAGTCTTGGATGTGAAGCATTTCTGCTTAAAACACTGCACTTGTGTGCAGGGGCGCTACTTTCACCTTTGATAGCTCAGAACTCCGTTCCATAAAGTCAAATGTCAATTCTGTGCAAAATTTGTCAACGCGCACTGCACGCTAGCACCAGATGTAACCGTCGTGCCTGAAAGGGGAAGCTCACTCTCTGCAGTCCCTGCTACCTCCCTTTACCTTAATTTTTTTTTTAAATGAGCAAGGACTACTTCACATTTTGTTTTATGATTACTCCCTTTTGTAAAATGTTGCCACTATATAAGTTGTTAATGACAATTAATGGAGAGATTTATAATGTATTCATTACTGAAGAATCAATATCTAATTTCTATTCAACTTTCTGGCTCATCTCCAACTGTAACAGCAACTCAATAACCTATTTTGATAGTCCCATATCCTGCACTATAAAGAATTCAGTTATATAAAAATCCTTCATTAGGTTCTTTCCAACAGTTGAGGGCTGTCCATAACAATGAGAAGATAAAATATCTGTTAAACAATTGCTGCTGCAGTGGCTGATGACCCTGTGCCAGCAGCCTCCTGTGTGAGATAAGATAAGGATCTCACTGGATATCTAGTACAAAGCCTGCAGGCTTAGAGTTTACTGGTGCACAACATTATTGGATTTTTTTTTAAATATTTGTAAAAGGTCAAATATGGTTCTAATTTTTAAGTTTATTTTCATAGCTTTCAGATGGGTTTGAGGTTTAAAGAAAAAAAGTTATTTGACTAAATATTGGTTTTATAGTGAGGCCACAATAGCCAAATCAGAATAATCCCCACTAATGGAGTCAGTTCAGGGATACTGGCCAAAAACATGACTTGATGTCAATGTCAGTCAAAGTAAGGATTCCTGATCTTCGGCAATCTTCGTGACTCCGCTCCGGATATCTACTTGAAAGGCACAACCTTCGGCAAACTCCGTGACTCCGCTCAGGCTATCTACCTGAAAGGCACAACCTTCGGTAATTTCCGTGACTTCGCTTCGGCAATCTCCGTGTCAGCCTGCGCCCTTCGGCAATCTCCCTGATCGTCCAGAGCCTTCGGCAATCTCCGTGACTTCTGACACCGTGTTAGCCTGAGACCTTCGGCAATCTCCGTAACTCCGCCCCCTTGCAGCCTGTGTGCGCAGGCTCAGTGCCCGGAACGGTTTTTCGTTCCCCGTGTTTGCTGCGGTCGATGTTGCGGGTTGCACATTCCTTCCGGTGTGCGGCAGCTCGGTGACATTGAGCGGGCGGGATGCAGGCGGTGCGCCGGGTGGTGTGTGCCATGTCCGGCGGGGTGGATAGCTCGGTGGCGGCTTTCCTGCTTCACAGGCGGGGTGAGGAGACCGTGACCCGGATATATTATATTAAATATCATATTATATACTGTATTATTATATTATATACTGAATTATATTATATACTGTATTATTATATTATATTATATACTGAATTATATTATATACTGTATTATATATATTATATTATATACTGTATTATTATATTATATACTGAATTATATTATATACTGTATTATATTATATACTGTATTATTATATTATATACTGTATTATTATATTATATACTGAATTATTATATTATATACTGTATTATTATATTATATACTGAATTATATTATATACTGTATTATATTATATTATATACTGTATTATTAATTATATTATATACTGTATTATTATATTATATACTGTATTATATATATTATATTATACTGTATTATTAATTATATTATATACTGTATTATATATTATATTATACTGTATTATTAATTATATTATATACTGTATTATATATTATATTATACTGTATTATTAATTATATTATATACTGTATTATTATATTATATACTGTATTATTATATTATATACTGTATTATTAATTATATTATATACTGTATTATATATATTATATTATATACTGTATTAAATATCATATTATATACTGTATTATTATATTATATACTGTATTATATACTGTATTAAATATATTATATACTGTATTATATTATTTACTGAATTATATTATATACTGTATTATATATTTTATATACTGTATTATATTATATACTGTATTATATTATTTACTGAATTATATTATATTATATACTGAATTATTATATTATATACTGTATTATATATTATATGATGTACTGTATTATATTATTTACTGAATTATTATATTATATACTGTATTATATTATTTACTGAATTATATTATATTATTTACTGAATTATATTATTTACTGTATTATATATTATATACTGTACTAAATTATATTATTTACTGAATTATATTATATTATTTACTGTATTATATATTATATACTGTATTAAATATATACTGTATTAAATATATACTATATTATATACTGTATTATATATTATATTATATACTATTATACAGTATATATAATATAATATATACAGTATATAATATATACAGTATATAATATATACAGTATATAATATATAATATATATAATACAGTATATAAAATTTAATACAGTATATAATATATATAATACAGTATATAATATAGTATATAATATATAATACAGTATATAATACAGTATATAATATTTAATACAGTATATAATATATATAATACAGTATATAATATATAATACAGTATATAACATATAATACAGTATATAATATAATATATAATACAGTATATAATATAATATAATATATAATACAGTATATAATATAATATATATAATACAGTATATAAAATTTAATACAGTATATAATATATATAATACAGTATATAATATAATATAATACAGTATATAATATAATATAGTATATAATATATAATATAGTATATAATATATAATACAGTATATAATATTTAATAGAGTATATAATATAATATATAATACAGTATATAATATAATACAGTATATAATATATAATACAGTATATAATATATAATACAGTATATAATATAATAATACAGTATATAATACAGTATACTGTATGTATTATATATTATATACTGTATTATATACTGTATTATTATATTATATACTGTATAATATATTATATAATACAGTATATAATATATAATACAGAATATAATATTTAATACAGTATATAATATATAATACAATATATAATATTTAATACAGTATATAATATAATATATAATACAGTATATAATATAATAATACAGTATATAATGTATAATACAGTATATAATACAGTGTATAGTATATAATACAGTATACTGTATGTATTATATATTATATACTATATTATATTATATACTGTATTATATATTATATACTGTATTATATTATATACTGTATAATATATTATATACTATTATACAGTATATAATATAATATGCAGTATATAATATAATATATAATACAGTATATAATATTTAATACAGATATAATATAATATTTAATAGATATAATATATAATACAGTATATAATATATAATACAGTATATAATATATATATAATACAGTATATAATATAACATATAACACAGTATATAATATATAATACAGTATATAATATATAATACAGTATATAATATTTAATACAGTATATAATATATAATACAGAATATAATATATAATACAGAATATAATATATAATATAATATTTAATACAGTATATAATATATAATACAGTATATAATATACTAATACAGTATATAATATACTAATACAGTATATAATATATATAATACAGTATATAATATAATACAGTATATAATATATAATACAGTATATAATACAGTATATAATATTTAATACAGTATATAATATATAATACAGTATATAATATATAATACAGTATATAATATATAATATAATATATAATACAGTATACTGTATGTATTATATATTATATACTGTATTATATATTATATCTGTATTAAATATTATATTATATCTGTATTAAATATTATATACTGTATTAAATATTATATTATATACTGTATTATATATTATATACTGTATTAAATATTATATTATATACTGTATTATATATTATATACTGTATTGTATTATATTATAAACTGTATTAAATATTATATATTATATACTGTATTAAATATATACTGAATTAAATATATACTGTATTTTATATATAGAGAAAGAGGCACTTCCCAAGCTAATGGGGAGTACCAATCAAAGAGGGTTATAAGGGTGGCAAAATGGGCATAACCCAGCGTAAAACACAATAGAGAGAGAAAAAATGAAGGAAATGATCAACCCTCCTAGAAAAAGGGGGGGATTATGATCACCTTCAAGCCACCCTAAAAAATGGCGTCTCAAAAGTAAAAATAATAAATAACTTTAATAGGAAAAAAATGGAGAAAAAACACCACACACAAAAGTAAAACATAAACTAAATCAATTTAAAATGAATGGATATAAAGGGTCAAGTGTCTGAGGAGTGTAACCAGACTCACATAGATCAATGTATATACTTAGTATCAAACTCACTCATAACAGAGTGGTAAATTGTAAAGTAACTAATATCTTGCGCTAGACCCCACAGGGTAGACACTAATGTTTGGGAATCGAAAGGATAGAGAAGGTAAATAAGTGAGGGTGAAAAATAAAGTGGAAATAACCTAACAAAGGTATAGTACAGCAGATTGAAAAGGTTATATCTACCCACCAATTAACTCACTAAACTCTATCACTATAACAGCGAATATTCAAAGCAAAAAGCAGCTCAAACATCGGTGTAACATCCTGGTATCCATAAAGAGAAACCTCAAATAGGTCTAAGTAGAAACAAAAAGCAGCCCAACGCGCGTTTCGGCGGACTAACCGCCTTTTTCAAGGGCAATCAGAAGATAATAAAGTAAACCGCATGTATAATCCCCCCCCGGAACTATTTAAATGTCTTTCCATACCTCCTCCTTGTTATGATTGGTGGAATCTATCACCGTGCTAATAAGCAAGAAGAAATGCGCATGTCAGAAGAGAGACATGCGCATGTGCATCCAGTATGTCTTATTTTTCGGGTTGCGCATGTCCGAAGAGTAACGAAGATAAATGCGCATGTCCGCCCACCGGCGGACACGCATGCGCAAAAGCTTCCTGTCTACCCGAAAGGTCCCCCAGATCATGCGCATGTCCGCAGCGTAATAGCCGCGCATGCGCAAGATATCTGAGCACAAAGTGAACTAGTTATACAAATAGCTCAGTATAAACAGGAAACGATGTATCTATAATAGATAATAACTAGAGCGATAGAACTATATAACTATATGGAGGAGTAAAATAAATATTATTCTGAGGGATAGGATAAAGCGGAGAACAAATTAAAAACAATAGTAAATCCACAATAATGGTTGGAGTAATCCAACCCAATCCATATTAGTTTTATAGTCAAAAAGACTAGATAACGAAATATAGATCATTCCACCCCTGGCTGGAAATAATCAAAAAGTATGTATAAAGGGTTAGTAGTGAGATGTATAACCATACATGCATATAATACTGGATTATAGACCCCAATAGGTATAGTTAGCTCCATCTTTATGTGTAATTGCAATTATTTACATATAAAGAGAACATGTCCAGATGTGTATATATATATAGAGCCATATATATACAAAGTATAGAAGCCCTTACATATACAAATAACAGAAAAGGCCGTTAGATAAAAGGAGCAAAGGAAAATCCCTCATTCAAACCCAAAGGTTGAAGGGTCTTGAGTTCATATATCCATCTGGACTCTCTTTGTCTTAGAGTTTTGTCATAGTCTCCCCGTCTCGGGGTCCTTTTAACCAGTTCTAGACCACAGAACCTAAGGTTACTGGGATCTCCCTGGTGATGTTCTCTCAAATGTCTCGAGATAGGAGTCTCGAGCCGATTCCTGGGGGATCTCACATGCTCCAAAATCCTATCCTTGAACGCCCTGAAGGTCTTCCCTACATATTTCTGTCCACACATGCATGATAGTAGGTATACTATGCCTTTGGTGTTACAATTAAAAAAGCTATTAATTTTGAAGGAACCCTGTCCCTTACTATCAGTCACAATCTTGGAACCTTTCAAGATAAACTTACAGGCTACGCATCTACCGCAGCCATATGTGCCTGTCGGTGGAGTACCCAACCAAGAGGCACGTGGCTGTAATTTCATGGAAAAATGGCTGGGAACTAAAAAATCTCGGATCTGTAATACTGACATGTGGAGTTAGAACATCCCGCAGATGTACATCATTTAAAAGGATAGGCCAGAATCTTTCAAGTGATTTCCGTACTTCTGGCCACCCCATATCAAACGTTGCAATCATGCGGATCGTACCACTCCCCTGATTAGGGTTCTCCTTAGGGGTGTCACATAGTAATTCATTTCTCTCAGTTAGGAGTGCTCGTTTATAAGCTCTTTTTAAACAACGATTTGGATAGCCCTTCTCTTTAAAGTATTGTCGAAGTTGTTTAGCTTGTATAATGAAATCCTGGGTGTCACTACAATTTCTCCGAAGACGGAGATATTGGCCAACTGGTATACCCTCTTTTAGAGGTCGAGGGTGGTGGCTAGTCCAGTGAAGAAGGGAGTTAGTTGCTGTAGGTTTTCTGAACAGCGTGGAATGAACTACACCCTCTTCACTGATAGTAATAGTGACATTGAGGAAATTAATCGAGCGTCCTCCAAATTCAGACGTGAAACGAAGATTCTCATTGTTCACGTTAAGGAGAGTTACCATATCTGAGAATTCAAGGGGGGTGCCTTGCCAGACAATCAAAATGTCATCGATGTAACGACCCCACCATAGAACCTTAGGTAGGTATTCACTCAACAAATCTGAATTGCATACCTGTTGTTCCCACCAACCCAGGTGGAGGTTTGCATATGAGGGGGCACAAGCCGTCCCCATAGCAGTACCCCTCACCTGGTGGTAGAACCGGTTATTGAAAAGAAAATAATTATGTGACAAAATAAATCTCAACAAGCGTAGAAGGAAAGCTGTATATATATCATCCCGCGGAGTTCTTTGGTCAAGAAAAAAAGCCACATGATCAATCCCATTATCATGAGGTATGGATGAATATAAAGATTCAACATCCAAACTACATAATTGGGCATCTCTATTGTATTTTATATACTGTATTAAATTTTATATACTGTATTAAATATTAAATATTATATGCTGTATTAAATTTTATATACTGTATTATATATTATATTATATATTGTATTAAATTTTATATACTGTATTAAATTTTATATACTGTATTATATATTATATTATATACTGTATTATATATTATATACTTTATAAAATTTTATATACTGTTTTATATATTATATTATATACTGTATTAAATATATACTGTATTATATATTATATTATATACTGTATTATATTGTATACTGTATGTATCATATACTGTATTATATATTATATACTGTATGTATTATATATTATATTATATACTGTATTATATATTATAATGGTTCTGATAGTGAAATCCACATAGAATTATAGAATCCTGTGGTCAGCGGGTTCCCCTAGTGTTCTAGTGTAGGAAATGGAAGCCAGCAATCAGGTAGTTGGTAAATATCGGGGGGTTTCTAAAGGTAAAATTGCCAGGAATTTCCCAATTTCAGGCTAAAATAGACTTACTGAAAGCATAGCTCAATTTAAATTCCAATTAATCTATTTTGTCCTTAAATTTTCTCTTTGATTTCCCATCAATTCTGACATTAGTAAATGAGCCTGTGTGGGAGCAGAAATGTTTTAAAGTGACTCTGTCACCCAAATTTACCTTTCATTTATTGTTTCTTCTCTTCCTCCTTCAGAATCTGTTCTTTTTTTTATCTATATCTCTTTAAATCATTAGACACAGTTGGAACTACTTTTTGTCTTGAATATTTTTCCTACACTTGACAAATCCCGACACAGGGTGGAGCTTAAGGCAGGGTAACAGAGGGTGGAGCCTTAAGCCTTAAGCTCCACCCTGTGTCAAGATTGTCACATGCAAGAAAATATACAGTATTTATAGTCCCTGCTTTGCCGTATCTTTTTTTTTTTTTCTTATTCTTTATTTTTTGAGTGCAGTGGGAAGTACAGGCTTATATATTGACATTTGACAGGATGCATAATGACAGCAGGTAAACAGATAAGGTCAAGAATCGTTGCACTCATTTTTTGGGGTAATGCATGCTTATTCATCTGAAGACTAATTAAGTAGTGATAATAATAACAAAGATTAACCATGCAAAAAGATAATACGTTTAGACTTATTAGTGGGCAGTTATCGCTTAGCTGTAGCCAACAAGCTGGGGTAGTTCTGGTACTGAGCAGCATCGGGTTGCACACCGGTGCTAGAAAGGTAGAGACCTCTGTATCAGTATTATGTGTACACTGGTATTGCTCTGAGATTGAAATATTGATATTTTACAACAAGAAAAGTGGCAGTGTGTTGCTCATCCAGTGGGAGTTATATAGGTTAGGAGGTGGAGAGCAGTGTAACCCGCAGAGCCTTATTCTGCTCAATATGGAGCTTGCGGTCAGTGGGATCAAATTCAAATCATTCATGCTATGCAGAGTGAAATGCATAAAATGTTTGAGTGTATCGCTGAATATACAAACAGGGTAGTTTATGTAGGCAAAATTTTGTGAAGCTCCCTAGTGGCTAATGTCTGATTTCGTAGCATCCATTGGTGGCTGTCCACTATTTCTAGTGAGGGAATCTGGAGCTGATGGGCACATGAACTGAAGGCTATAGCAAGAGAGAAATATAAAATAGTTAAACAATGAAAGTTGGAGGCATAGACCTTGGGCTGTGCAGCCAGGCAACGGTGGGTGATGCAAATCCCATTGACCGTCCTCTTGAGTCAGCCAATGCCCACCCTGGAGGCTGGAGATGGAGGTTTGGGATGGATGAACACCCAGTCCAGCTGTGAGAGTCCCAGTGTTGGGCCCATTGCTGTGGAGAGTTGTGTGCAGAGTGCAGAAAGATGATGCCCTCTGTGGGGTCTGTTTGGACGGTGCAGTGAGGAGTGACGATTTCTCCGCGGCCCCACAGCTGGTGTCGGTGTGCAGCTGGGCTTAGAGGGGACCCGTCGTGATGTCTGGTGCAGGCATTTGGGTTTCCGTTTTGGTGGGAAAGGTCTTCTCCCATGGCGCCGTCTCCGAGCTCCCCCCGAAGGCACAACTGCGAGTCTGTGAGCAGGGTGTGCAGTCTTTTCTCCGTGTAAGTATGTCCCAGTTTGCCTCTCCCTGCTGGCCAGTTTCGCCCAGAAGGCATCAAATATGGCATTAAGCCTTGACAGGATGTCAGACCTCCTGTCAGTGCCTCTGGAGGTGCACGTGGCATCCGCCATTATGCAGGCCCTCGCTTTTGGAAGCTGCTTGTTCGGCCTCACAGCTTATAGCCCAGTTGCTCCAGGGGAGTGGACCAGGATCACCCCCGCTGGTTCTAGGGGGGAGCAGAAAATCAGTGGCTCCAGCGTGAGGGCGAGGAGAGCGGCCGTCTCTCCCCGGCTCTGTTCCCCGCAGCATGCCACTTCTGGTTCCCGATCGTGGAAAACTTTCATTTTGGGTATCTTGCACTTCACCAGGGTGCCCCCGACTTGGGTGGCATACCCGGCATATTTTCAGGCTTTGTATCCATGATTATTTCCATTTAATCAGCTTGTACAGTGGGAGCCCGTCGGGCATGCGACCACTCAGTTTGCAGGTCAGGCCCCGCCCCCCTTTGCCGTATATTTTAAAGAGAAATCAGTCAGAAAAGAACAGATTCCGAGAGAGGAAGAGAAGGCTTTAATGTGTGTCACCTAGATTTAATTAAAAAACATTTATTTATTTATTTTTTTACCACATGTGCGTCTTACATAGACTACAGTTCCACACCTCACTTTAATCTGTTGTTTGCTGTATGTTGTGATAGTTTATGGCACTGACATGTATCGTAATGTAAATTTATAAATGGATCGAGTTTAAGCCCAGTTCTCTTATACAAGTCCCTGCTTCTTCCTAATGGCTCCTTTTATAAAGATGCATGAAGAATCCAGTGCTGACGCTGAACACAATCATAGTCTTATCCCCAGCTTCATTCATGAAAAAGCAGGAGTAGAGATACTAGTTTGCTGAACGAAGAAAAACATGGCTGCCATCCGCTTGGGCTGAAGTTTCATTCATAGCTTTGTCCACAAAAACTGTTTTCAAAGATAAATGATGTATCCCTTAAACTCTGGCTGGCCATCTGGGCTGTGCTCTGCTTTCAAACAATAGAATTAGAATCCCAGGATTGGCTGAAAGCTATGCAGAGCTCACTGTAGCTGCTGTAAATCTTGGGATTTGCAGCAAATGTAGAAATGAAAACAAGGGGAAAATTTTTAGATATACGTTTATTTCTTTATCCGATTTTTATTTTTTAATTTTTTTTTAAATACACGGTCTATAACGCATTAAAAATATGGGTTAACTCCTGTCCGTTTTGTTTGTGGAATATATGTGTTAAAGGTTCTACTACAGAATGTGCCCCTGGCAATCGTAGCTACCAACTTTATTGCCTCTTAGGGTGTGTATATATATTTATTTTCCAAATCCATTTTGTTTTGTTAAATGTTAATAGTGAGTTTGAGTGCCAGAGATTAATTTATTCTTCCTGCTTCAATGACAGGCTATGATGTTATTGGCGTATATATGAATAACTGGGACGTGGTAGATGAGAACGGCATGTGCAGCGCAGAGCGAGATTGCGAGGATGCCTACCGGGTCTGTAAAAAGTTGGATATTCCTTTCCACCAAGTATCCTATATCAAGGAGTACTGGCATGACGTATTTAGGTAATATGTCATCATTTTTGTTTAATTACTTGTTTTTCTGTTCTGCATTTGAATTAGATTTGTTTCCCTGCCATTAAAATAATAGCTAGACTTTGTTACATACAGTAATCAGAAATTTGATTGGCTGTTGACTACAACTCTCATCACACTCGGCCGTGTGTCTTTTGTGATATGCAGAAGGGATAAAGAGCGAAACCAGTCTCTTTCAAGGAGTCAGACTCTGCACGAGAACTATCATAGTCCTCATGGTCTATGTGCATTCCCCGACAATGTGTATTTATCTCCGAACCATTTATTACAAGACGCTAATATTAATCCTGTGCGTACACTATTTGCATTTTTAATGTTGAGTTTAAATTCCAATGCGACTTTAGAAAGACATTTTACTTCTTCAAAGTGCCTATGTCATGGATAATATTATCACTCTATAGAGAATAAACGTTTGTTATATCTATTACAGTAGAAAACTTTTTTTTTAAATGAATCCTTTTACCTAAATATGGTAGACAAATATTTTATACATATAACCTCCCCAAAAAACAGAACAGTAGCGCTATGTGAATACTTATAAAATGGAATAAAAACAAGATGTTTGCTTACTCCTCTCCATCGGTTACTGCTGAGTAAATGGTAAGACATCGATGGCAATATTGGTGATTACATGTGAAGCCACTGCATTCCTAGTAGCAGCTATCTTGACTTAGAAAGAACCAATCGTCTGGTAAGGTATATCTTTTAACCGATACATTTTGACATTTATTTCACTTCCACCGTATATAAATGTATATACCTACCTGAAGGTGAACTTGCCATGCACGTGTTCTGTGGATGACAGGTCAATGTTAATAAATGATTATGTCTTGCTTTTAGCAGCCAGTATAATAATGTATCACAGTGTCTCCCAGCAGCAGAAAATCAGATGCAGTAAGAGTCTCATCATGGCCCATATAGTGTGAGATGGTTTCGCTTATATGAACTCACTAGGTTCCCCTCTATCCGTGTCTCAGTTTGTGAACAGTCACAGTCCGCATCAGCATGTTACCTTTTATTTTATAAATTATTTTAATTCTAACTTAAAGGAACACTATAGTCACATAAATTACTTTAGCTAAATAAAGCAGTTTTAGTGTATAGACCATTCCCCTGCTATTTCACTGCTCAATTCACTGTCATTTAGGAGTTAAATCACTTTGTTTCTGTTTATGGCCCTAGCCACACCTCCCCTGGCTATGATTGACAGAGCCTGCATGAAAAAAAAACTGGTTTCACTTTCAAACAGATGTAATTTACCTTATACAATTGTATCTCAATCTCTAAATTGAACTTTAATCACATACGGAAGGCTCTTGCAGGGTCTAGCAAGCTATTAACATAGCAGGGGAAAATCTTAATTAAACAGAACTTGCAATAAAGAAAGCCTAAATAGGGCTCTCTTTACAGGAAGTGTTTATGGAAGGCTGTGCAAGTCACATGCAGGGAGGTGTGACTAGGGTTCATAAACAAAGGGATTTAACTCCTAAATGGCAGAGGATTGAGCAGTGAGGCTGCAGGGGCATGTTCTATACACAAAAACTGCTTCATTAAGCTAAAGTTGTTCAGGTGACTATAGTGTCCCTTTAACTTTTATTAAATATTTAACCTGATTACAATTTAGCATTGTATTATGGGTGATAAGCTGATTGAGGTGTGGGAGATGGAACTGGGTGATGGTTAAAAGTCGGTTTTCGGTGCTGTGGCAAAACAGAAGGTGTCGGTTACAGCTTATTCTATGCATTGATACAATGTATTTGATGTTGTGACTGGCCACTACAAGTCGTGTGAACTATAATCTCTGGCGTTTATAATTTAATTCCTGCCATGCGTTACATGTGATGGAATTTATAAAAATGAAACCACTACATCGTGAACAAGCTGGGATTTTACTTTTTTGGCTTCTTTTTCAGTAATTTCTTAAATGAATATGAGAGAGGTAGAACTCCAAACCCCGACATCCTGTGCAACAGGCATATCAAATTTAATTACCTGCTGAGCTACGCCATAGATAATTTAGGTGAGTCTCTTGTAACCGGGCCGTTTCACATTATATAGTTTATGCCAGTTTCCCTTTAATAGTGTTTACCAGTCATTAGCCGTGACTTGGCACCAACGCTTTGCTGAACATAATAAACATCTTTGTTAGAATTGTAATTGTGTTTTCCTGGCTTTCAAACCAGGGTTTAGAATTTAATTATTTCTGTTTTTACCAGCCGCTACAAATGCTTCAAAAAGTAACCAAGCACAGAAACTGGTGAGCCATACCCAGTAGGTCATTACTAAGTTATACCGGAATACAGATCTTCATTCATTTTTAGTATATTTAATCCTTTAAATGCCCCTGTTTGAAAAGAAAATCACTATCCTTACTGTAATACAGAAATGTAAAAATGGGTCGTTTTTATTATTTCACACACATTTACTTTTTCATTAAAAGTTGGGGAGTCCTACACTGCTGCAATGTAATGGGACAGTGATTGCAGACTTTCTTGGATAAATATTGAGGTTATCGAATAAACAGGAAATTGCTAAGTATTGACAAGTCAATTGCAATTTATAGGTTAAAATATCAGATTTAGAAAAACTATCCCACTTCGCCATCATCTTTTTTTATTTGCAATTCTCGTCATCTCTACAATTCCTGTATTAGTGATAACTCCATGTGATGTTGGCACTGCACATAAAAAAATCTGGTCTTTCCTGTACCCTCACAGTGGAGAAATAGAACTGGGGATTAAATGGATACTCTAAGCACCAAAACAACTTTATCTTAATGAAGCAGTTGTGGTGTATAGATCACGTCCCTGCAGTCTCACTGCTCAATATCTGCCCAATAATTGTATCTTTGCAATTATAAAATATTTGTATGAAAAGAATGTTTGATTAAAATGGCACCGTCACAAGTCATCTTACAAAGTGGCACTTTAAAAGGAAACGTGGGGGCAGATATGGGTTTCCTTTGCTCATTTTTGCTGCCATTTTCTTCTCTGTACAATTGGCATAATCTGCGATGAGTCACTTTTGTAATCACGTGTGTGTGCGATAAGATTTCCTATTCACGGGAAATGACAGGGTGTCTTGGAGGAAATGGTATATTGCCACATTTTTCTAGAAATCAGTCCTTACTATATCCCATGTATATCTTTTGATTGCTTTGGAATTTCAATGAAATGTATACTTTTTTTTTTTTTTTTTTTTAAATATAGTGTGTGCGTTTGTGTGTGCATGTGTGTGTGCGTGCACTAAAGATACTATATATAGTAAAGTTCCACATTGAAGCTGAATATCATACCACTTAATCCTTTTGGCATATGGTGATGGATAAAAGATACATATCCTCTTCCACTGACAGCAAACACATAGGGAAGTATATTTTATTAATTTATTTTTTATTTTAAACACTTTTTGTTTTACATACAGGAGCTGATGGTATTGCCACTGGTCATTATGCAAGAACATCCCAAGATGAAGAAGAGGCATTTCAGCAGAAATATATTCCGAACCCTCCCAGTCTGTTTAGGAACAGATTTGAAGTTCGGAATGGTTGGTTTTGTTGATTATTATTGTTGCCATTAAACACGGTGGGGGTGTTATTTATTAAAGTGTCTGTTCTAAAAAGTGGTGGAATATTGCGAAAGGAAAGGAGTCACCAATGTATTGCCTGCTGCTTTCACTACTTTGCATGGCAATTGCCCAACTTTTCGAATTATAGAAAGCTCCCAATACTTCTTTAACCTGCCATTCATAACTCGGACATCTGAGATCAACTAAAAAATTATAATTATATTAATTGTATTCATGGAAAGCCCAGTGTTGTAAATAATTCACTCTCTAACACATGGGAGACTTAATGTTAAGATAGTAATAGTAGATGTACTCTGGTTGTAGAATGTCATTAAACTGGTATATTCTAAAAAGGTTGTTTTTTTTTTTTTCTATTTCTTCCTGTGTTTGAGAACAAACCATCTGACTTTATTTACCATACAAGATCTTGGCACAACATTCCTAATCCATTTAAAACTATCCCCAATAGATCTTGTCATCTTGCCAGTCATGAAAACTCTCAGAACTTAGTACTTTGTATTGGGAGTATTTTCATGTGATAAGCTAGGACACTCTGCTGCCCAAAAATAAAATGAAAAATCATTGTTTAGTAGATATATTTCAAATGAAAACATGCATGCGTTTAATTGGATGTATAGCTAAAACAGCTTGCAAAAGCTGCAGATCTCTTGTCTGCAGCCTTTACAAGCCCTCCCCTTTTAACCACGTCCAGACCTTCTGAGGCTGTCCAATCACAGACTTCCCAATGCAGCTTAATAAGAAGTTCCTGGCAATTTCTGTCTCTTGAAGATTAATTTATAAAAGTGACAGTGTCACTTTTTTTCCCACTGAATTTGTGTGTGAAACAAAACAAAGACACACTTTTCACACACAAATCATGTAAGGAAGCTAAACTGCTTTAGGGGTCTATAGTGACCTTTTAAATGTATTGAATATGGCAAAAAATAACTGTGCTGCCCTAAGCTAAGCAGAGTCTATAAACGCACACTGCTAGATCTAGATTTGTAGGGGTCTTCAGGACTATGTATTCATTCAATTTCCTGAAAAGTGTAGTATGGGTCATCAGCGCTGGCTGCTGATGTAAACTGACTTTTATCCGCTTGTTTTCAGATGTACGCCTCCTACAAGCAGCTGATCGGATAAAAGACCAGACTTTCTTTCTTAGTCAGATCTCACAATATGCGTTAAGGAAAACCATCTTTCCCATCGGAGGGCTAACAAAGGACTTTGTAAAAAAGATGGCTGCTGAAGCTGGGTTTCACCATGTTTTACAGAGAAAAGAGGTGCGGAAACAATATGTACTTTTGTCACATTTCTTCCATTTGATATGATTTTGCACAAGCTCTGATCTGGTCAATATTGGTAAAATGTTTAATACCTTATCAGGATTTTTTGGATCAGTACATATTGTAGTGATTTTAGAGTATTTCCTCATACAGTAAACACTATTTATTTATTTGTACCTTAAGGGGAAACTATAGTTTAAAACTGATAATCTTTGCAGCCCCTCTCTTCTCCTCCCACTTCGTTTTCTCTCCTTTCATTTCTCGTTCAATTGTGGATGAGAAGCACATTCGTAGCAAGCACTGCACTTCTCCCTGAGAAGCATTGAATCTATGCAAAGCATTTACAGAATGCTCAATGTTGTCATTCAATGCGTGAGAATGTTGATTGTCAAGAACAGTCTCACTCTGTGCTCACAGCAGAAGCACCATCTAGTGGCTGTCAACGTAACAGCAACTAGAAGTTTAGCCCCACAGTGCAAACATTGCCACATCTCCCAAACAGGAATGTTTTGCATTTTGGGAGAGAAGAGCCTGGGAGTGGGTCACTACACAAGGACCATTTCATTGAGATGAAGATGACTAGGTGTCTATAGTTCCTTTTTTTAAAATGTAATTTTGTACTCCCAGCATTTTGAACACAAATGACCGTTTAATAATTTCTTGACTCGGTGTTTGATATACCTTCGTGAACCATGCAGCAAGGACTCATGACACTACATTGCTGCATCCTTTTTCCAATGTATTTGTGTATTAAAACACATTATACGAGCAAAGCTGCATTTGGAAACCGATTCCCAGCATTGGAGCAATATGAATAACGTTTACATTTTATTGTTGTCATAGAGCATGGGGATCTGCTTTATCGGAGAACGGAATTTTGAAAATTTCATTCTTGAGGTATGTTCCAAAAACATTTCCTTGCCGAGAACAGCTTTAAATGTTGAATGCAGTTCTTGTAATTCTTTGTCTTTTTATTAAGTACTTAGAACCTCAACCTGGAAACTTTGTATCAATAGAGGATGGAAGAATCATGGGGAGGCACCAGGGTGAGAATCATGTTTTGTATCTTTTCCACAAAGTATTTTTAATTTTCCATTACTCACTGTTTGCCTAGCCGCCCATATGTTCAAGGTTCGCTTATTTTGTAAATGTTCTCAGTTTTGTTCTGTAGTTTTGACGTGGATAACAAGGTGAGATTCAGGTAGGTATACAAGTGTAATCCGCATACAGTGCTGTCCAGATCATCAGCAAATGTTCACTGCGTAGTTTATATCTAACCGCTTTTCTCCAAGTTGTCTGTCTGAAAAGCTGTGCTCGCATTGTCCACCTGTGTCTGCCTTATTCGCAGCCCAGCAGTACACAGAAATGGTGCAAATTCACAGAATTTGAATACTTTTTGCATCATATCAATCAGATAAGAAGAATTAGCTAAATTGAGCTGCAGTGGTAACACTGTGATTTTAGCCCCTTCACGACAGATGATGTAGTAAACACATTCTTATATTATTTTATTATTTATATAGCGCCAGCAAATTCTGTAGCGCTGTACAATGGGTGAACTAACAGCCACGTAATTGTATCCAGACAAATGGACGCACAGGAACAGAGGGGTTGAGGGCCCTGCTCAATGAGCTTACATGCTACATTGTATTTGTGCAACCCCATATGCTGAACGGGTTAATGTCTGTTAATACTGTGTCGGTCTGCCCCTATATATTAGCGTCTGGAGTATGAATAATGCCCAGTGATCAAATAACTTTCTTTAATCAATAGGCAATCCTTCAGGGAATTTATTTTGCCGGCAAATCATATGCTGGCTGCACAAACTCTATAGAGCAAGCTGTTCAATATAACAATGGAAAGTATAGGAGCAAGGTAACTTAATATCTCTCCAAAGCAACAATTAATTTCTTTTGTTTTTATTGTTACGGATGTTTGTGTAATATATATATATTTTTAGACCTTTAATTATAGTTCAGTAGCCCAGATAATTATGTATGTGTATCGGCATATTTAAATATGTGTATATCCTTTTACTTGTACAAGGCACGGATTGGAAGCTGTCACTTTTAGGGCTTTCTGACTTTTTTACAGAAGCCCCCCACAGGTTGCATGTTGGTTGCATGTTGGTCCCTGTATGATGAATGTGATGGAGAGATGTACGCCCCATCCATAGCTTCCTACCTTAATGCGCGGAATTTTCTTTCTATCTCCTGGCATGCCAAGGGTTGCTGCAGGGTTGTACTGGCTCATGCGCAAAGGTCCCACATTTTCAAGGTCCAATGAGACTGCCTTCTGGCATTCATTGCACATCGAACAAGAAGATACATTTTCATATCATCCATCAACCATCACTAAACAATGTGGCTTTTTCCATAAAAGTACACTATTAAAATTTCAGTGTAATCTGCTGAAGCCATTTTTTATAAAGTTTGTGCCTTATGACAGCACGGTCTTATATAGTTACATTTCATCCATTAGCAGTGAAGTATTAATAAAAATATTCTCTAAATGCATATGAACTTAAATCCCACTGACTATTTTCAGATTTTTCATAGAGATATATTCCAAATACTTTTCATATTGCTTTCAAAAGTGCCTACAAACTTGAGAAAGTGATTAACCTTTCCTTCCAGGATATTGTATGAACATTATTTATGTCCATGTGCTTTGCAGAAAAAGATTTCATCAATAAGGCTTTGCTCACACTTACCTATACCCTAGGAATGATTACCAGACTGCAGAGAAACAAAATTATGTATAATGTAAAAATCAAGTCATTTATTTTCCCCAAGACCTGTTCCTTGTGGTTTATACTGTTTGTAATGTTTTGTAGGCTGGTTTCTGTATACGTTGGGCCAAAGGGCGAGAATAGGAGGCCAGCGAGATGCTTGGTTTGTTGTGGATAAGGACGTGTCCACAGCGACTGTTTATGTGGTATGTATCCTGGACTAAATCCATGTGGGCCTTAAAACAGGAGATTTCTAAATTGTCGCTGACACTATTCGATCGAATCGTCTGCAAATTTTTGGTGCAATTTATGAAATCTCTAAGAGTTTTTTTTAACCTTTTGCATTCTGTTAATTTTGAGTGTTTTCAGTGAATCAGTTGTGAAATTTAACTGTTGGCACTTTGATAACTATCCCCTTTTGTTTTTTTGGAGGTATTTAAAGCAAAACATTTTTGTATTCATCCGGGATCTGAGCAGCAAGTTACACCAGAGTCCTTGTATGATGGGAACCTCTTGTAAACTCTCATTCTTTGCCCTATTCTTTCTAAGTGTATCAGTCAGACTTTGCATTTTCATTAGTTTCAAGATTAGTTTTAAAACTGCAAGATTGCGTGTGTTTTGTTTTGTTTATAAGCAGTTTCTCCGTAAATGGGATCCTGGCTAAATCATTAAGTATTTGAAGGTGGAGTGGCACACATTATGGAGATTTAAACCAGTGTTGCTGTCGGGTCCAGTGGTTTCCATGGCGATTACTCACTGTCATTTAGAACTTTTACTCTATTTTTCTGTTATTACAGTAATTTACTACATTAAAGTCTATAATATTATTTTCATATGCTTATTTCCTGTCCACGTTATACGACAATCTCATGTCTTTGAAAGTAACATTAAAAATATAATTTGCTCCTTTGAAGAGTTAGATCATTTCAGTTAGCAGTGTATACTTTAGGCGTGTTAAATAGTGTAGTCCTCCCATTAATCTAAAACTGCATCATTGACACCCCACCTCTCATCTTTTTTTTTTTTTTTAAGATGATAAGCGAACGTCTACTTTATGCAAATTGATGGGTAACATCTATCTTCTTTGACCCAAGACAGCAATGTCTGCCATAGGCTTTTTAAAGGGGCGCACTGTGTAATGTAACCACTGTATTGGTTATGTTGCATAGAGTCTGTTTGTTTCATCCATCTGGTTAATATCAAACTATTTAAAGTGATTCTGTCATTCTCTGGGGTCTTTGCATATTTTTTAAGACCCCCGATGGTGAAATTGTTGCTTGCGGTGTGTTGGCTGAGGGTGCATGGAAAGGTGAGTTTTACTTACCCCAAGCTCTCCCTTGCGGCCGCCATCTACTTCCGTGGAATCCTCTTCAGCTCCTGACCCCTCATCTTCCAGAAGGCAGAGAGAGTACAACATTGATGTCTACTGAGGATTCCACAAGGTTGCAGGAGCCTCCATAGAGAGAGAGCCTTTTTACCCCTCAGCTCTGGCTTTACAAAGATTAATAGTGGTAGCTACGCCTTTCTGTCTGATTATAGCTCTTTTGGAAATTAAATAAAATTCCAGCATAATCTTTATCAGCATTTCTTATTTTTTTGGGGGGGGGAGAGGAGCAGGGGGGAGGGTGACATAGCTGCTTTAAGAATTATTGATATAAATTTAGGAATCTTCCTTTCTGACACCAAGGGAGTATCCTCATCCCATTTGCATTAATACAGAATTTACATTTTCTCCAACCTGGGCTACACTGTTTGGCTAGGATTGCTGGATTGTTCTAGCCACTTTCTAATGGCGCTTGTTAACTCAAAGTCTATTCACTAAACTGTGAATTATACATGTATCTTCCCGCCATAATGTTAGAGTCTGCGTTTGGTTCTTTACAAGTTGAGTCTCAGTGAATGCACTAAATGTAGTTAGTACCTGTCACAATAAAATCATGGCGCATTCTCGTTTTGAAGTGCTGGTTAATGATTTTCTGTATACAACAACTTGTGATGAACTGTTATAATTATGTGTTTGCTAAATGACATCCACTCAGCAATTAGAGCATTTGATGTACTGCTTTGATGATATAACTGCTTAGGGAGTATCGTATCAGCTGTGAGTAATAGAGCAATGCATTGATGTTTTGTGCTATTTCTATCCAGCGATGTACAATGACACTGTTTATCCTATGTTTGTTCATTCTAATATTACGCTTGCATCCTTTCCTGCCAGTTTACACTCTCTCCTGCTCTTCACTATATTCAGGGATAGAAGGTTTCATAGATCACACAAATTTATTTTCCTGTTTGTCCTATTTCATTTGAATTATAGATATTTAATTTGTTTACTACAAATAGTCACTGAATTCCTGGATTCATCTTTTAATCTCCTACAAACAGATCTACACACAAGTCCAGTTCCCATGTCTCGCCTCTGTCTTCCCATTTCATCACTTAAAGGGACAGTAGGCACCCAGACCCCTTCAGCTCATTCAAGTGGTATGGGTGCTGTGTCCTTATTGCACTTGGTGTGCTGCAATGTAAAACTTTACATTGCAGCACTAAGTCTGCCTCCAGTGGCTTTTTCCCAAACAGCCACTGGAGGGGCTTCCTGGATCCAAACAGACCTTTGATATACAAAACAAGGTAGCGCTTGAAAATTGTGGAAACTGGACTGATATACCAAAAAAGGGGTTTATATACCTTAAGGAAGTTCTGACAGATATTAACGGTCTCTGGTTTATGTACCTTTAAAAACAAAAATGGATGTATACAGTAGTGCAAGACCTCAAAATAATTGTGTTACGGAAACACTCACATATTAATGAGCAATAGACTATAGCTCACGTGACAACAGCCTTGGGGTCAGTAAAGGCGACCCTTCCCTTCTTGTGTAGTGGGTCCTTCAATTTCTGTATTAATGAAGACAAGATATGGTGCGATATCGTAGTGCACAAATTGAAATCTATGTAGCAATAGGATCAGTACTCACAAACATGGAGCCAAAGGTTAGGCTCTGATCTTAGTACATTGTGTAGTTAATGACTACACTCCTCCTTTGGATATAGCAGGAAGTAAAATGCCTTGAGTGACCGTAAAATAACAATTTATTAATAAAATCAAATCCTATATTGTTAAAATCAAATCTCGCTATAAAACTGTTTGCATCTACCGTTTTGAAGTGATTTTTAGTTCTAAAAGATCATCTATATAAATATTAAGATCTTAAAATACTACTTCTTGTTGGCTCCACGTACTCGTTCGTTTTATACCCCATGTGTTATCGTTTAAGAATGTTAAAAAAATGTTCAGATCCTCTTTCTGTCCTTTCCATATAACGAATATCATCTATATATCGGCCGCTATGGACCCCAAGGCTGTTGTCACTTGAGCTATAGTTTATAGTTCATGAATATGTGAGTGTTTCTGTAACACAATTTTTTTTATAAGAAATTATTTTGAGGTCTTGTGTATATCTATTTTTGTTTTTAAAGGTACATAAACCAGAGACTATTACTATGTCAGAACTTCCTTAAGGTATATAAACAGCTTTTTTTGGTATATCAGTCCAATTTCCACAATTTTCAAGCACTACACTGTTTTGTATGTTGTGTATATAGAAAAGATTGCACACTGTGTTATAGCAGCTTAATGATGAAATCAAGCACTTGCACTTTCTTAAATTTTTTGGAGATTACAGCTAGCGCTAGTACAACAGACATTATGTATTTCCAAACAGACCTTTGGTTTGGTAAATGACGCTGGACGTCCTCACGCACTCTTGGGGGGGCGTGAGAGATGGGGAGGCAGAGGGAGCTATAGTACCAGCAATACGGCTTTGTATTCTTGGCACTTATAGAATCCCTTTAATTGCCTTTCTTCGGTGTGAGCTTCTGTGTTCCCTGAGTATTCTACAGACAGCAGTTAAAGAGTTACTGTAAGCACCATGACCTCTTAAGTCATTTGAAGTGGTCATGGTGCCTGAAGTCTATGTGCAGTGCACATACTGCATTTAACCCAATGCTGCTTTAGGTGTAACTCCACCTCCAGCGACGTCATTTGCGAGCCTTGAACACGAACGAATGTCGAACTAAGCGCATATTTCTGTGTACAGAATGTCAATCATTGGCTGAGAGTGTTGGGCTCTGCTTCTGGCTCCTTCAGAGCAGACCTAGGTAAGCTGCTTCCTTGTTGCTATTCAGACCATTCGAGTAATGCGGAGTAGACTGTGTTATGTATGTAGACCGTACTATAAAACAATCAATTATTCACTGATCTGTTGTTGTTTGTTTGATTGCTGGCATTTAAGAGCTTCTCGTTCTGACACAATGTTCCTATCACTGTGTTCAAGGCCCCATGTACCAATCACCCCGCTCTGTTTAGAGACTTGCTGCGGACCGATCGCGTACACTGGCTCTCAGAAGACCCTCCTCCAGAGCTAATAGAGAATAAGATGATGGATTGCTATTTTAGATTCCAACACCAGATGGCGCTAGGTGAGTGCTATAATTTGTAGCATCTTCTTGAGTTTAGAAGGAATTAAAGCTCCGATATGTGTAGATGCAGCTTTTTTTTTTACTAATTTTTTTTCTGTCTGATACTCAAAATGGATTTTCATAAAAAATTTGCCTTGGCTCCGCGTTAGTGAGTGAGTCGTTTCTCTAGACTGTGTATTTAGATGGAAAGTGTGACTGGGCATCTACCTGTAGTCTCCCTCTGCGTGTATGTTCTCTCCCTTGCACCATCCCCCCATTTGCAGCGATAAATTCTCCCCTGGTCATAGAAGTACTAATAAGACCAATCTATGTAAGGCTGCCTCTCAGTGTGTCCCTATGCCTGTCTGAATTGAGCTGTCAGAAAGCTTCTAAATCCCCAATGGCTTCTATTAAATTGTTTAAAGGGACACTATAGGCACCAAAACCACTTTAGCTTACTGAAGCGATTTTGGTGTATAGATCATGTTCCTGCAGTCTCACTGCTCAATTCTCTGCCATTTAGGAGTTAAATCACCTTTATACAGCTTCAGTAAAGATAAAGGTGTTTTGGTGCCTATAGTGTCTTTTTAATGGTTTAAGTCATGTCTTTTTCCTGTATATCTCTTCAACTCCTCCAGAGCAGAGGTTTTATGCTTGGCACTCAAACTATGGGGGGGTGGGAGGGGACTAGGAAATGGCTACCTGCCCTAATGTGTTTTATACCCCACCTTCTATAGACTGTAAGTTCGTTTGAGCAGGGCCCTCTTCAACCTATTGTTCCTGTAAGTTTTCTTGTAATTGTCCTATTTATAGTTACATCCCCCCTCTCATAATATTGTAAGGCGCTACGGAATCTGTTGGCGCTATATAAATAGCAATAATAATAATAGATGTTCCAGCAACATCCTAGTACACGGCAGAAGCTGTGAATCCTATGGAACAGTAAAGGTGTGTGGTTCTTTTTTTTTTTTTTTTTTAGTATAGTGCCTGAAGTGTCATTTTTAATCTCGGTTCCTGCCCTCCTCATGCCCCTTAAATAATTATACAATCAAATCAGACTTAAATACACCATATAATTCCCTACATGTTTTGTTTTGGCTTAGATTGTCCTCTACATCACAGGAGCTTTTGTGATGAGGATGTCCCAATCTATTTAGTAAGAAACATGTCCGTATTTTAAACACTAGTGTTCTTCGTCTTAAAACTGCTTTGGTGGCACTTTGTAGAATTGTACGCCTTGTTTATATCAATCCTTGTTCTAATGTATCATTTCAGTCTCTTCTTTATACAGATCTGTCTCATACCATGCAGTAAAGTAAACATGGTTTTTACTTTGTGTATATATTTAAATGTTTCTGAAGTTTTTCCAAATGCTAAATAACATGTTTTGCTTACCGTACGATAAGGCGCTGTCTGCAATTAGCTTTTGTCTTAGGTAATGGCAGTTGAGTTTGGCTGGCATTTCAATGTGATTATAGCAGCTCGTGTTAACTTCATGTATCATGTTATTGGACGAACGCACCCACAGTGCACTCTAATCCCCGAGAAATGCTCAGCCTGTCACGTCTTGTTGCCAGCTCAGAAATCATGTTGGAGGCGCTGGATTTTCAATGGTTACATTGTTTTGAGTTTGAGTTAAGTTACTATTGCCATGAGCTTGTCAAGGGGTGCGAACCGTAATTAACCCACTCATTGCTGTGAGCTAAAACACGCTGCAGATTCCCATCGCCATACAATGTTTGTCTTATTTTACTTGTTATCTTACCTGTTATTGCTGTTGTGATATGTTACTGCCCATAGGCTGTGTATGTTGTTGGATAGATTAAAGTAAACTTTCTGAGTCTGTTTGCTTAAAAGGACGAATCCAAATTAAAGACACCTTTTAGTGGATTACAAAATACCTGCATCTGATTTCTCAAATTACAACTTTAACGTCCAAGTATTACTGCTCTGTTTGTGTAGCATATCTGTTTTCCAAGTGGCACCAGCGAATCAGCCAGCCTTTAACGCACCTACGACCTGCGTATACTTACAAGGAAGAAATAATAAATGGACGCTTACCTTTTATATCCATATTGTGTCAGTGGCATTCGCTCACTGACCCATTCTTTAGTTGCAATATGCGCTCAGTGCCCCGATTCTTCAATCGTAATTTAATTAATATCAAAATATTTATTTTTTTCAAAAACTTCTACATTTGACTCTAATCTGCATCAAAGGGGTCTCTGCTGAACTGAGAAATCATCCTACAGTAAGCTATTGATTGTTTCAGTTTATGTTGTATCTGATAAATAAAATGCACGTTTTCTAAAATACATGATCTAACTAAGAACGGTGTGTATGTATATACATCTGCTTATTATTGAAACGCTTCCTTGTCTTCTAGTGCCATGTGTTCTAACACTAAACCAAGATGGCACCGTATGGGTGACGCTGGCGAAGCCATTGCGTGCCCTGACACCCGGGCAGGTGAGTTCTTTACACCTTGTTTTTGCTGCTGTAATCACTAATGTAATGTTCAGGCCCAACGTTAAAGGAACCTGCTCATGCGTAGGAAAACACAAGACAAAGCCGTCATAAGTGATCGAGATGCTTTAAACAAAAACTGCATTTTTATTCATGTCCAATAAGCCCTGGTTATTCCTGGCATCAGCATGCTTATCTGCCCAATAAGCCTCTATAGTGGGGTTTTTTAGTCAGAGCAGAACTATTATTTCTACAGTATATAATTGTGCAATTATTTGAGGTTTCCTCCCCAAGCAATTTAATTAAGTGAATTTGTGATATTGCAGGAAGCCTGTCCTGTAATTATGCCACATTAACAGTATTGTTCAGCAATGAACCATTGCCTGTCGAAGCACCTCTTTTACATCTTTTTCTCTCTATGTACCTAGGGGAGAGCTGAGAAGTAAGTTTCCCAAAATAATTTGTGCTAAATGGTTGCAACATATTTTAATCGACTGGGAAAGGGGAAAATGGTGATCACTGGTCATTCGATATACCTTAACTTTGCAATTCTGAAGCGTTGGTAAATTAATGTAGCGATGTAGGATAGAAGAATTTGTCTAAGGCAAATACTTTTTTTTTTACTGTAAGAACAATAAGGATGTGGAATTCTCTGCCTGAAGAAGTGGTTTTATCAGAGTCCATACAGATGTTCAAACAGCTACTAGATGCATACTTGCAAAAACAGAATATTCAAGGATATAATCATTCAATGTAGGGTAATAACTGCTTGATCCAAGGATAAATCTGACTGCCATTCTAGGGTCAAGAAGGAATTTTTTTCCTAGCTTGTTGTACAATTGGAAGTGCTTCAAACTGGGTTTTTTTGCCTTCTTTTGGTTTAACAGCAAAAAACAAATGTGAGGAAGGCTGAACTTGATGGATGTAAGTCTCTTTTCAGCTATGTAACTATGTAACGCCTTTATGCACTTATGGCAATCCACTGTTTAGTTGCATAGGCTGAATAGAGACATGTATATAACAAGTTCAGTCTTTCTCACATCTGTTTTTGCTGTTGAGTCAAAAGAAAGCAAAAAACCCAGTTTGAAACACTTCCAATTTTGCAACAAACTAGGAAAAAAAATCCTCCTTGACCCCAGAATGGCAGTCAGATCTCTCCTTGGATCGAAATAACTATTACCCCTCAATTTAAAAATGATATCCCTGTATATTATGTTTTTGCAAGTATGTATCCAGTTCCTGTTTAAACATCTGCATGGACTCTGATAAAACCACCTTTACAGGCAGAGAATTCCACATCCTTATTGTAAAAAACATTGGACTAAATCTCCTTTCTTCCAGTCTAAATGTGTGACCACATGTCCTATGTATTGTCCTGTTTATGAATAGATTTCCAGACAATGGTTTGTATTGGCCCCAAATAGATTGTACATTATCATATCCACTCTGAGGTGATGTTTTTCTAAACTAAACAGATTTAAATTTGTTAACCTTTCTTCAGAACTAAAATGTTACATTTCTTTTATTATTTTACATATAATATTATCATAAAACTTTTGTACTTTACATGAATTTGTATTACTATTACATACCTCCCCTGTTTTGATCTTGCCCCCGCCCCCACCCCCTTTCTGTCCTCTCTACATTTTGTAGGATTCTGTGTGTATCCCACTAGTTTAAAATGTGCTCCGACCTTCTAGCCATACTATCCCCCAGCACAGCAGATATTCTTCTATTAAGGTGCAGTTCATCATGGCTATAAAGATTGTTACCCAAGCACAAATTCAGCCCAGTGCTTTAAAAAGCCAAAACCCTCTTTCCTACACCATGACTTTAGCCACAAATTATTATTCCTAATCTACAGCTACCTATATTTCAAATAAATACTACCTTGAAAAACAACATTTCTTCAGTTTACTTCCCAATTCCCTAAACTAATTTTTTAGGACCCTCCATTTTACTCTGACTTTGTCATTGGTACCAATGTGGACAGCCAAGTCATCCACAGCCCCACTCAATAATCCATCTACTCTGTCTGCAACATGACGAATCCGAGCACCCGGGAGACCGCAAACTGTCCGCTTGAGATTATCAGATCGGCAGATTACCTATTCTGCTCTCTTAATAATAAAGTGCCCTACCATCAAAACCTGTCTAGCCTTTCTTACGTTCTCAACCCCACCCATAGTAGAGCATCTGTTCCCTCAATGGTTAGAAGGAACCGCTTCCTCCAGTACAGCTACTCCTGAGCTGATGCTTCTGACATCTTCAATCAAGTTGCCCAGCTACGTGCCTGTTCCCCAACTGTTTTATCTCCTCCCACTCCACTAGAGGCCACCGCTAGACTCTGCTTAGTGAGCAGTAGACCGCTTTCAAGATTACCAAACTGTCTCAAAGTTGCAATTCACTTCTCCAGATCTCCAATCTGAGCTTCCAGAGAAGCCATCTGTTAACACCTGCCACTGAGGTGTGGACCAGATTAATCCAGGCATGCATACATGTAGCAAGATATGTAGTCAAACCTTCAATTTTGCTAATAAACCATTTCCACAGCTACCAAAAACAAGTACGGGACAGTAAAACAATAATTACCTTGTTGGTTTGAACACCTGGTTTTGAACTCCTACTTTAAAAGAGACTACTTTTTAAAGCCACTCCAAGTGAGCAAGCTCAGTTTACTAGTTGTTTGACAAAATCTTGCTCTGCTTCTCATATTACGGTCAGCAAATATAGTTTTTATTGAATACTGGATAATGACGCTTCACATACTGCTTGCAGATATCAGACAGATTAATGGACTTGCTGATACCTTGACCAAGTCACTCTGGGTTTCAGTAAGATGTTATTTTGTGATTTTCCTTAATCCTCTTGTTCCGTTTCAGCCTGTCTACATATCGTGGGTCGTGCTTGCACTGTAACCTAATTTGTCCATTCTCTGCCAGTTTGCAGTGTTCTACAAAGACGAAGAATGTCTTGGAAGTGGCAAAATTATGAGACTGGGTCCATCACAGTACACCTTGCAGCAAGGCCGGGAAAAGATGAAATCTGCAGCAAGTGTGACGACAGAGCCTGTTAAAGAGAAGGATCCGGTGTCCTAAATGCTGCTATTCTCCTGTCTAATAGGACATATCCAGTGAAATCTGAGCCATCAAATTAGGAGGGAAGGGAGGCATTCAGTGCTTCAGCCTTAATTAGGGGACAAGTTCTGACAGACTGTGACTGGCATGCTACCTCAGGCGCTTTTATACACAATAATAGATTGTATTCAGGAGACGCTGTGGTCGTTCATACAAACCGTGGCATGTAAAACAAATATATATTTATATTGTAGAGATTGAATTATGATTTTAAAACTTTTATTTTGATAATATTGATTGTTAAATATGGAAAATAAAGCTATTTTTTATAGAACTAAATCTTTTCTTATTATAGGTGTTTAACCCCTTTATGACAAGGGCTTCGGCACATCCTACTAGCATGGTATACGTGGTGGCTAAGAAAGGGTTAATCTGCAATTTTTTATATTAAATACTGCACTTTGCATATTCCCTTTGTTTATATTTAAATGTACACCTTTTAATATCGTCACTACCAAGCTATTTAAAAGGCACTTGGTAGTGACCCGATACTTAACCAGGGTTATTCACATTTAATTTTCACAAATTAAATCCAAATGGCAAAGCCGAGCCTAAAATAGCCAAATTATATGTGGCGGACCGCCTTGTGCCCCACCTGCACACCTCAACCAAACACAATTCCTAGCTATTGCCGGGATAAGCACTTCAGCCCCTAGCCGCCGCAGCTTGTCTGGGGTCTCGCCGTCTCTTCCCACCCTGGACCAGGGTCCTGGAGATCCAGCTCCCAGTGATCAAAGCTCTCCTACAGAAAGTATAGCTGTATAGTAGTAATTCTAGCTAGTATAGCATTCCCCCACACACATTAGCTGAGACTTAATACTGGGAGTAGATCTGTTCTATTCAGGCAAGCACATACATACAGTAAACTCCTCCCCTGTGCCTGAGAGATAGTCAGGAACTGTACAAACTCCATTATCTCCAAGTACAGAAAAACACACCTTTTCACAACACTCCAAAAGTACTCCCAAAATCCATGAAAACCCCTCATGAGTTACATCCCCAGAGAGCCTAGAGTGGTAGCAGTCGTTCAATCTCGGGAGTCAAAAACAAAATACCTAACCGATCCTCTAGCTCCTAGGTAGCGATTGTTCGCCTAGTTCATGCGAACAATCCTACCGAATGTTACTCTCCTGACATAAATAGCAACGATGCAGGCGTTCATCAACGTTCAGCAGTGTTCACGACTTAGTGTCCAATTTTAGTTCCATGCACTTGACGACCAAACACCGCTGCCTGCGTTTGTGCAAGCAACACCCATAGTATGAAAACTATGATGGTGGTGTCAGGAGAGGTCAATAGGGGTTAACATGCTCAGAGGTGGTCTGCATTTCGTGGGTTTGTTCGGTTCCCGTACAATACAGGGAAACCACACAAACCTAGTCTTTTAAAGGTTAGTTTCAGGGCCCATAGTCCTTGGGCAGGAGGCTAACCAGCAGGCTCATCCAGGAGCTCGTGGCAGAGGCATCTTTGCCACATTTTAACTGTGCCTGAATTGGAGAAACCTATCAGATCAGGTATTTTTGCCCCAGTTTTGCCATTCGGATTTCATTCACAAACATTTGGGTTTAGGAAATGACCCTAAAGTCCATGGCATGCCATTAAAATAAAAACTCCTTTATAATGTAAACAGAGTTTAGGTATAGCAGATCAATGTTGGCTGTCTGGACACAATGTACATTACATTATATCGTACATTACTCTGTATCCACAGGAGGAACACAATATGCACCTTTAATGATACAAGTAACTTTTCTTTTTTGTGTATAGCCTGATAAGATTTGATTACAGTACGGTTCGTTTTTTTTCCCTTTTGTATATGATTCATAAAAGAACCACTGAAGCTGGGCTGCTACCATTAAATTCTAGGAATGGATCCTTGGATTTTATATCGATAAGTATCTATATCTTGAAGAATCGCTGTAATCGATAACTGCAGCTATAGCTTACTTTATGTTCCATTGTTAACCATTTATTTCATTGGTTTTTATTCACGGAACAGATCGTTTGAGAATTAAGAATGGCATTGAAATTTTTAGGCCAAATAACCAAAGGAAAGATTGGGAAAATCTTATTCAAGTTTAAGAAATCATATCAATTTGGAACTTCTCTCTGAGCTCTCCAATGTTTACAATTTAGTGCGAATGCTCCCCTAAGGTTAAAGAGGCACTATAGGCAGCAGAACACTTTATCTCCTTGATATGGTTATGATGCCTGGAGTCCCCTGGAACCGTCATGTTCAATCCATTTGATGCTGAATGGTGGTTCGGGAACCAGTCTACTGCTGGGCAGCAGTGATATCAATGCCAACTTTCTCTAGTATTAGAGTGTTACTAATTTCAGCACCAGCTATACCTTCCAGCTGGGACGTGAGCCACAGGTGGCTGGAAACCCTTACACAGTGTCAGACTGGTCAAAACCTTCTAACACTGAGACTTCGCCAGGGGACTCCAGCCATCAATTCTATGAGATGAAGTGGTTATGGTGCCTGATGTGTCCCTTTAATTCACTAAAATCTGTGGTGTTCTGAAAGCCAAGTTGTATATTTTGGTCAAAATAACTGCAGTGGATTAAATTATCTAAATCATTTTTTGTTTGGTTTATATTTTGCAAATAGTTTCTCAAGTCACCAACATTCACTGTGTTTTAAAGAACCCTGCATCCGCTAAGCAAGGGGTCAGCAAACTATGGCCAATGGGTTTACCAAGCCCAGTCCCTGCACAATAGTGGCCTGTTATTGAACTCTTCAAAATAATTGGCATTCGGCACCAGGCTTTATGCTGCCGCTGTACTACCTGCAATGGTAGAGCCCCACGGAGTTTAGAGATGGTTCTACTCACTGCTCTGGGCAGCTTGCACTATGGTGATGTCACAACAGAGCCACCTACAATGGATGGATAGAATTTCTATCGCCTGACATCGGGAACATTTAGTTATGGCTGCCAGGCAGTTTATTTTTTTTTTGCATTTAGCCCTGCTGTGGGCAAGTAACAGGGCTGCTACAGCGGACGTGAGGATTGTTCATGCTGGTACATGTAGCATCTGTTTTGCACCTCCGGTAGATGCAAGTGTGTAATATTTTCTGACGGACTCATGTGGGAACATGTGGTCTGCACCTTCAGCGTATGCAGGCCACAGAAATCACTCCTCTCAGTCCACCATTCACTAAAATGTTACAATACAGCTGCAGAGGTTCCAAGCATGCACTCTGACATGTGAACACTGGACTGCAAGGGAGTGGTTACTGTGGTCTGTATCCGCCAAAGGTGCAGACTGCATGTTCCCACACTAAACCGCCAGAAAACATTATTATTATTATTGGTTATTTATATAGCGCCAGCTTACTCCGCAGCGCTTTACAATAAAAGTGGATTTTACCAAATGAGACAGTAACAAAATGTAACCGGAACAATAGGTAGTTGAGGACCCTGCTCAAACGAGCTTACAGTCTAGAGGAGGTGGGGTAAAAAAAGCACAATAGGAAGAGTATTGAGGGAGAGAGCAAATCAACATGGTGGGAAAGTTGCAGAATGGTGAGAGTGGAGTGTGGCCCCATAGGAGAGAGCGAGAGGAAGGTGTGAGACATGACACAGTCAAACACACAAATACACACAGCAGGTACATACCAGACACACATTACACACAGCCTGCATATACAGACACACTAAGGGAGTCTCAAGGTTATTCACTAAACTCTGATTTTACTTTGGCAAAAGTTTGAATTTAGTAAATAACTCTGCATGTGCACCAATCTGAAATTATTGTGAACTCCCTCGCACCACAGGACACAAGCAAGCCAGGCGGTCCACCCAACGAAGGTAGTTAATTTAATAAAGAAGTAAGAATTAAATTTAGAGAAAGGTGGTACTGGTGGACCCAACTAAAGCAGAACAGCAATGAAAGTGAGACCTTTAGACACCGGTTCCTGCATTGCTTCTTACCATTACTAGATTGCATTTCTTAGCTATATAGAATGCATGAGATGTTGCAGAGTCCTGCTCTGAGCTAAACTATGGATACGTTCTACTAGAAGCTGAATGTTTGGGTTTTTTAACGTGCCAGGGTTACATATATACAATATACTGTGCAACCAATTAGAATTGTTTAACGTATCTCACGTAGATTTTACAATAAATGACCAATATTTGAAATTTACTATTGTGCACAAAATTCTCTCCCATTTGTAATTCTAACAAGGAAAAAAAAACCTGAAAAATACAAATAATGTGGGGCAGCGGCAAGGTGTGTTATGCGGAGTATTCACAGCTACCAGAACTTCGTTATGAAACATTCCTTCGTGTTACTTTCCAAAAAAAGAAAACCCACATACAGGGCATTCCAATTCTCGCAAAGCCTGCGAGGTCATGTACACATGAGTCTGTTAGCATTGTGAATTTACACAATAGAGTTATAGCCAAGAAACACACAAAATCCTCGTCCAGTAAAGGCCCTATTGTGTGCACTCCAGGCAGCAAGTCAATAGTAGGGAAAACCTGATACGGCTGATAATATTACAGCGACGTGTTATTAACCATACGAGGGATGGAACTGAAGTTATGTGAATAGCCATCTAGATGCCTTTGTTCCCACTGGCATAATGGCCGTTGCACCATAAAACATCAAAGTATCCCTCGAAAAGAAATTGCAATGGAAAAATCGATAATCTGTAACCTGGGTCTAGAAAATCCCGTATTTTCACCTTTGCTGAAACACTTGTGATGGCTTTGGCAAATGGTGTACCTGGCAGGAACGATTTAAAACCTATTCTTTTCCTTAAGCCGTGGAATATTTACTTTCCACGCCCTCAGTTAGACAAAAAAAAGAAATGGGTGAGTCTATGGGTCACAATAAACAGTAAATATTTCTCCTTCACTGGGTCAAACAAGCGATATTCTATGGGGTTTGTTTACATGCAGTGCACACAGTCTGCAACCATTTGTTTGTCCTTTCTGTAGATGTCCCTGTGTTTGCACTAACCATAATAAATATTTATTTGTATATTGAGTCATGTTACAGTAGTAAACAAAAATCACGCAGGGGTGCACATGAGACTAGCCATGAAATACTGAGTGTTACACTCACCCTACAATCTAAAACACAGATTCCACTGCTGAAAATATGTTTGCGTTCATCAATTAAAGAAAATGATTAATCGTTTAGTGAACATGCCTGAAATGTTTAGAAATATTTCTAAAGACAAAAGGGACACCGTCCCCCAAATAGAATTTCCACTGTATAATAGATATATCCATATGTGAATGTATATCTAATCTATATAAAACATTTTTTTTGAAAAGTACATTATACTACATTAATAGGGAGAAACCTATAATATCATAAATAAGAAACACTCTGGAGATGTGGAGTCAGCAAGAATTGATGAAATGCAACGAGCGGGTTAAATTTCAGAACATTGTTCTTTATAATCAAGAGTTTATAATTAAACAGCTACTGGTGTGAAACACATCGTATTCAATCTATGCTGTGTTTCGCAATTCCCTTTTTGTAGCTGTACTTTTTATCTGAATATTGAGTGATACATTTCTGGACTTTCAAACCATGTCATGCTTTCTGAGCAAAAATTAAGCCAGGTAGGCACACTCAAAAGTGCTGATATGAAACAGTAACCAAACAAAAATGAACAGTCTAGCCATGGGTGCTCACTCGTATAAGGCCATATTCCCAAAGGCCAAAAGAGTTACATCTATTACTTAAACAAAGGGCACAACCACAAAATGTATATGAAAAGATATTTATTAAATGGGTCACAGTAATAGGCTCTCTCATTAACTGTATCAATGAATGAAAAAGACATACAATGTCAAATAAAAAGTACAATGTAACACATACAAGTTTCAGAGGAGCCTATAAACAGACTACACAATGCATAAATCTCTGAATACAAATATCCAAAATAGCTATATGAGATACCAAACAATTATTATTATAAACCCCAAAGTACTTATATATACAAAAAAAAAAGCAAAGCATACCAGACCTAGTGAGAAGAAGGACAAGAGTCAACCAAAAAGCCCCCAACGTTTCGGCAAAACTGCCTTTACAGGCTCCCTTGATAAAGGCAGTTTGGGGTTTATAATAATAATTGTTTGGTATCTCATATAGATATTTTTATTTG